TAAATGGGACGTTGAATGGGGATTACTTCCATGGGCCCACATACTTCGGGTAATTCCCGGTTAATTGGACTGTCAATTGAACGGGAACTGGAAGTGGATGTGGAAGTGGAAAGGGTAGTGGTAGTGGTGGTGGAAGGGGAAGTAAGGGATGGTAATGGGATTGGAAGGGCGAGTGGGAGGATGGAGACCCAAAAGGATGGAAAACTTTGTTGGCCAACGAGTTTCCATGCAGGCATCTGCATTTGCCTCCCCCACCCCCTCGTTTATCCCAATCCCTTTTCCATGTTTTCACCCCTTTCCTCCCTTCTTTTTTTTTCGTCCCTGTCTCTTAACATTTGTGCAATATTTTGCCATGAATTGACGGGCTCGTTGATAGGCATTCGATGGGGGGTGGGGGTGGGTTTTTGGGGGAGAGGCGGACTTTTGCCGTTATTTGTATGGCCTAAAACTTTTTCGTAATGCCCGATCAGAAGGGAGAGGGGGGCGCAGGCAGGAAAAGCCTGTTTGCAAATTCAATTGAAATTGCATTCGAAATCATTTCGGCATTTGGCATTATTATACATACTATACAGAAGCACTCGCAACATAGTTGCTGTTTGTGTTAGTTGCAATTTACCACAATTTGCACAATTTATTTGCTTTGCCTTTGACTCTTCAACTCGGGAATGCCCTCTGTTTTTATTTCCCCCCCCTGTTTCTGTTTCATTTCATTTCAATTTAGACCTTTTTTTCCGGGGCTCACCACTCATTTTTATTGTTTCATTTTAGCCCCGAATGCGGTCTTTTAGTTTTAGTTTTTTTTTTTTGTTCGCAAAGCCCAGCAAACCAAGATTTGACCGACAATCGAGTGGAGAATGAAGAGAAGTGACCCCGCTTGCGCCCAGTTTTCCGTTTTCCGGTGGAAATATCATCGCAAAAGTGCCGATTGAAAGCAATTCGATTTGGCCAACAATCTGCTGATTGCGGCTGTCAGTGGGAATTGTGAAATTGTGAAATAATTCCGCGAGTGCGAAAATTATCCCAACCAAAAGTGTACTTTTAATCGTCACTCTTGGCATTCGAGCGGCGCTCTGGGATTGGATTTGGGTTTGGATTTGGGTTGGGGTCTATCCTAGCTGTGTGCCAAAAATTGCGTAATGGCCGCAAAATCAAAATGCGGCAAGTTGCAAAATGTGAAATTTATTAGCCGCTCCGGGGCTCCGAGGATTCCGAGGGTTCCGAGAGAGATGTAAAAACATTTCGCGCCGAGCATCCTTTGGGGAGTCACGCTAGATTGACCACGAATTAAAGCCATTATCGGCCGAAAGGCCGACCCTTGTGTGTGTATCTATCTATTATTCAGGTTTTAAGACCAGTCCCCCCCTCCCTTTCCCCCTCTTCTGTCCCTTAAATCTGCGTTTTTTTCTCGCTTTTTCTTAATCCGCTTAAAGCGATTCGGCAAATGTTAAAATTCCAGGATTAGGGAGAGTGCAGTAACATTGAGTAAGGTCAAAGTGCCCTATAGCTTGGGATCCATCGAAAGATTCCCCAGCGAAAAAGGGTTCTCATCAGGGGAAGAGTACCCGAAGTGTCGCTGTTATGGGGTTAACAGTGGCGCAGGTACAGGTACAGTGCCAGGGGGATGCTGTAACAGGGCGTTAGCAGGTACCTAATCCCGGGTGCATCGCCTGGGTACGGGTATAACAGTTGGGGCATCTGTTATATGCCTTCCATGCCGACGCTTCCCCGTTTTAGCAAAGAAATGCGCGGAAGATGCGCCCGTGGAAGGTCGTGACACGGGGCAACTGGAAACTATCGGCTCATCGAAAGAACACTTTTCAATCATTCTTCTTTCGCTCGTTTTTTTGGCGTTTTGGCGAAAATACATCTCTTTGAGTTTAATTTTAAGACAAAATTAAATTTTGATTTTATTTGGATTTCTTTTTACTTAGAATTTTTCTTTTTATATTTTCTAATTGCTAATTAAAAATAATATTGCATTAGTGTATTGAGGCATCTTAGTAATTTTAATCCAGCATAACTTAATATTATTTAAATTAGTAAATTTAAGGTAGAAGTATTTTTAAGGTTTCTCATCACCCGTTTATGGGAAGCTACGGCAGTAACTTGTAAAGCTATAGAACTTTGGTGAATTGTTTCTTATGCTCACAGCTATAAATATTCTTTGAATTTATAAATTAAATGTGGTAGTTACTTGAAAACTTTATTTTTGCTTTGCAATATAATTATGGCGTTATAATTATTATGTGAGGCGAAAGCTGGTCCCAAAACTTAAAACGCAAAGAACTAAAGCTTTTCACAAAGGCAACTATAATCGTCCTGTATGGCAAAAGTTGGGGTCCCAAAACTGAAAATAGGACGAAATAAAGCTTTTCACCGAGACAACCATAATCGTCCTTTTTGGCAAAAGCTTGTCCCTAAACCGGAAAAAGGACCTAGCCAAAGCTTTTAACCGATTGGAAAGCGCGAAAATAAGGACGAATGCCAATGCTTTCAAAAGCGAAGCTTTAAGTTTGGAAAATTAACTCAAAAAAAGAGCGAGTGTGAAAAGTGGACCAAAGTTGTTGCTGTTCGGCCAGCTTTCTCCCAGTTGGCCGCGAGTTTTGGCACCGAACGGTCTACGAAAATGAGCGAATTTTCCGCAATTTCCCGCACTTCCGCTTCCTGCTCTTCCTCTTTCCGCAGCGCTGCTACTTGTTATTGTTGTTTTTATTGTTAAATCCGAGTGATCAATTTAATTGTTGCTAAAAAGTGGCCAAATGCAAAATCACCTGTATAACTAAGGTAAGATGTTGTTCTTTTTTGTGTGTGTGTTTTTTTTTGGTTCGGAAAATGAAGTGGTTGGGAAAACCCAGGGAAATCCAAATGAGCTGCGTGTGTATGTGAGTGTGTGTGTGTGTGTGTCTGTTGCTCTAGATTTTTGGCCTTTTATCTTGGCCCTCCATCTCCAGCTTTTGCACATTTCTGATTACTTTGACTTTCGCCTGCTTTTCACTCTCCATTTCACAGTGAAAACTTTTTGATTTCTGCTCTTTGGCTTTGTTTTTCGGTTTTCCTTCCTTTTTTCCTTTTTTAAGGGCTACAGTTGTCTCTCGCTGACGTGACTGGCGTTCATTTTTCCATTCCGCTTGTCCCATTTGTGAGGCCGTCCAAAAAGAGGTCATCATCTCTGGCTAATTCGGGGCGACACTTTCAGGCCCAAAAGCCTGGTATACTATATATGTATATATGGTATAGTAGAGTATAGTGTAGCATATACATATATATATCGGATATATCGTGTGTGCACCTGCAGCAGCAAAACAGCAAAAGATAACAAAAGACAGAGCGAAGGAGCCAGTGGAATGACCTCGCAGTGGGTTAATGAAGAGTGCCACTTCAGCTGGCTGCTGCCTCTTGGCCCGGCTAAAAGTCCTTATAAGGACCACCATTTTGGCCCAACACTAGCCACATTTTAATGGCCAATTATGCCTGCAATTTCAGAGAATTTCAGAGATTATTGTGATTTGTTTTAACAAGTTTAAAAGGCCTTTAAAACATTTTATATGTGTAAATCCTTACCGTAAAAGAATTGTTTAATATTTTCTGAGGCAATGAGGTTAAAAGCAATAATTTACACTGTCATAAAATAGAACTAAAATATGTTTATATTATTTTTATATAATTTAATTTAGTTTAAGTTTGTTTGGTTAGTAAATTAGGTTATGTTTTTTTTTTATTTTCCGGCTAATTAAAAATTGTTTACAGCGCAGGCCAAGAGTGTGAACGCCCAATTAAGCGCTCATTACGCATTTTAATTTGCAGGGTGTGTCCAGCTACTTTAAGAGCCCCCATTAAAGGGTAACCCCTGGACGACCCACTGATTTCGCACCCCAATGTGATGCACTCACATATGCCGGGGGCATATAATTAAACCGATTTAATGGCCAGCTCAATGAACTGGATGCGATGCACTACTATCTGGCATTACCGAGCAAATTAATGTGGACAGAAAGTGGGGAGAATAAATAGCAAGGCTTAGCGAACACTTTCGCCTAATGGACTTGGCCAGATACAGTGAAACTTGACTAAGTTGATTTTTTGTTATTTCAAAACATAAGGCATTTAATGTTCTTAGCTCAGTTAGAAAATATTAACCAGGAACTAACTATGAATGAAAACTATTTATGACAAAAAAGGGATTTTAAAGACAAAAAATTATGAAATAATTTTAAAAATTTCTATAAAATTTAAAAATATATTTGAATGGTTATATATTATTAAAATTAAGAAATATATTTCAAAACATAAAATTTGAAAATATATTTAAATGTTTAAATATTTATTATAGTTTATTTAGAAGTTAGTATTTTTAAAAATATTTGTCTACAAGTTATCTGATCACTTTAATGGGGTTCGACTGTAATCCGTCACAAGTTCCAAGTCCCAAGTCCCGAGTTACCTAAGCTCTTTGAGTGCCTGACGACGTCAGCCCCGAGCGGTTGATAAGGTGGGTGATAAAGAGTTTCGGCAGCCTGTCAACGGAGTGATCCATTGGACCCGATTCCATCCCCATCCCCATCCCCCTACCCCTACCCTTACTTGGCATCGCCTCCGCTTTGAAGTGGCAATGCTGCGTCTTCGGTTACAAATTCAATTGAGAAACTGTCAAAGTTTGTGATTGAGAACGAGTGCGAGCACCTGTCCCGCCCCAAAAAACACACGCCCACATCGCAATGATGAGGCAAATTGCTGAGTGTAAAGCGATGCGAGATGAAAGTGTTTTCCAAATCTCTAAAGCACCATTGTCATCAGTTTCCGATGAAAACATTTGGGGTTTATTTTCGTTTTTAGACGAAGATAAACTGTTGAGAAATGAGTCATTGTCATTTACCTTAGCTCAGTTGATTTTGACTTGATTGGTGGTGCCTTCGATATGGTGACCCCGATTTGTTATGTAACTCTCTCAACTGTTTACCTCCACTCCATCTCCGCAGGAAATCAGGATTGCTAGCGATACACGGATGGCACTCGCCTGGATATGATGAGCTTCACCATTTCCCTGGCCCTACTGCTCCTGGCAGTCCTGATCCTGGGCATCCTGTTCGCCTGCCACTGCCTTGGTCCGCGGGCCGCCAACTGGATGCGGATGCGATCCAGCAAGGAGGAGAAGATCGGGCTGTCCAACCACAAGCAGAAGCTCTTCCATGCCAACGGTTATATGGCCAGTGTAGGTTACCATTGCGACCGAAAAAACAGCTTGAGAATTATAAGAGTTTTGATGGTGTTACAAAAATTAATTTATTAATAGGAATTAACGGACATGGTTATTGTAAATATTATATCCTACGATCCTATTCAATATCCACTGCAGATCCAATCCGGCTCCGAGTTCCTGCTGAGCACCAGCGGCAGCTTCAAGCGCTTCGACACCATCGACCGGGAGGATTACCATCGCTCGCAGCACCAGCAGACTCCGCATCCACATCCGCAGACGCACCTGCTCCTGCTCAACGGCGGTGGCGTCCTGGAGGCCACCACGCCCATGTGGCACCTGCCCCACACGACCTTGAGAATTCCGCCGCCGCCCAATCGGCCGGCCCCGCATCCCAATAAAACGGTGACCTTCTCGCTCAGCCAGGTCAACGAGGTCACCACGAATACAACGAGCGAAATCATGAATCCCGTTGATCAGGAGCGACGCTCCTGTCTTCGTGCGAATGGCGGATCTGCCGGTGGTGTCCTGCCCCAGCCTCTGGAGGCTCCTCCTCCGGCGAGGGTCACCACCTCTGTTTCGGTGAACTCGACGGGCACGGCGATACCCAGACCCATTGCCAAGCGGCAGGGTATTAATGGAGGAGGAGAAACAGCAGTGGTGACCCCGACGCCGGAAACTGTGGAGAGAAAAGCGCCCGCCCTGAAGCGTCGAAACTCGAGCACCAATCCCTTCCTCTGCGAATCCACGGAGCAGCTGCCTCCCAGTCAAACGGATCCTCTGGGAGTCACAGTGGCCTCTCTGCGAAATGCCACCATTTCGGGTGGTGAAACAAAAGCCACCCCTCCGCCAGCCGAACCGCAACCGCAACCCCATCACAATGGCAACCCCTTCGTGGAGACCCAGAGCCTCTCCAGTCGACTGCTGAAGCTCCACAACACCACGAATCCCTTCACAGGTCTCTCGCAGCGGGTGAAGGGTCCGCATCTCTTGCAGAAGACCATCTCCGAGGATTATCTGTTCCGGAAGCTGGGCGTCAATGGTAATGCATCGGGATCGGGTTTGGGATCGGGATCGGCAAATGGTCATGTCAATGGGAATGGCAATGGAACCTGGTCCTTTGGACGCTCGCTGCTGCGACAGGACTCCACGTTGAGCTTGGGTTTGGGCAGGCGGAACAGCTCGCAGATCTCGCTGGATTCGGGAGGGGGTTCCCTGGAGGGCATCAATCTGGAGAGGGCCATCTCCTGCGACTCGGTCACCTCGGAATCGACGCTCTTCCTGGATCAGCTGGATCAGCCGTACACCCAGATAACCGGTTACCTGTGCATTGGTCTTAATTACGACAAGTGAGTTTGTCACCAGTTAAACCAAAGGATACTTTATTGATCTTTCTCCCTTTGAAGAAACAGCATTAGCAACGAGGGCTTGGAACTCACGGTCAGTGTGTTGGAGGCCAAGGGACTCCTGTGTCCCTTCAGCGTGGAGTCACTAGACACCTTTGTGCGCATCTACCTGGTGCCCGATCATCCCGGCGCCATGCAAACCAAGGTGGGTTACTATTTCGGAAATAAATCTATATACTATATACTATTTTCCAGGTGGTCAAGGCGGCGCTAACGCCCAGCTACAACGAGAGCTTCAACTTCTGGCTGCAGAAGCGACAGGCTCGCCATTCGCTGTGGTTCCATCTCTACCACAACGGCCCCGCCCACACGCTCATCGGGGAGGCGGAGATGGAGATCGGCGAGATGCCGCGGCCCATCACCACGTGGATACCGCTCTCCGATTCGCGCAAGTGCAACGCCCGCTGGGGCGAGCTTATGTTCTCGCTGAGCTACCTGCCCACGGCGGAGCGCCTGACCATCGTGGTCGTCAAGGCCAGGAACCTCAAGCTGGACGGCGATCAACCGGCGCCGGAGTCCGCGGAAGCGGTGCACAGCGTTTTTGTGAAGGTGGGTGCACAGGTTTTACCCATACGGACTAGAGGAGAAATACTAATTTAAAAAAAAATAAGTATTTCGGGGTCACCAATTATAATATTATATTATATTATAATTATAATGCAAAGTTTTTACCCATAGTTCTTATTCTAACTAGAGGAGAAATACTGATTAAAAAAATAAGTATTTCGGGGTCACCAATTATAATATTATATTATATTATAATTATACAATTATAATATTATATTATATTATAATTATAATGCACAGTTTTTACCCAAAGTTCTTATTCTGACTAGAGGAGAAATACTAATTTAAAAAAAAAAAAGTATTTCGGGGTCACCAATTATAATATTTAGGTGATCACAGATTTATTGACTAAATGCTTTCACAATTTCTGACCTTAAGTGAAGTATTTACTAAGGGTATTTGGTTAATAAAGTTGTCTGACAGTTAAACTCTTATGTAAAGAGTCGGGGTCACCAATTACAATATAGTTGGTAGAAATTTATTATTTGCCAATTTGTGCTACTTAGTACAAGTACAAGTGCTGATCAACTTGTTTGAAAAATCGGGGTCACCAATTACGAGTTCTAGCTGATTTAAGATGGGATAAAAAAAAGTTAGATAAGTTTACAAGTTTCTTATCCTTAGTGTATATATTTTCCAACAAACTAATTTTTGAACCGAAAAATCGGGGTCACCAAATACGATATTTAGCTGATCTCAGACGGATAAATAAAGTTAGATAAGTTTACATATTTCTTACCCTTTAAACAAATATATTCTCCAATAAACTAATTTCGAATTGAAAAATCGGGGTCACCAATTCCGATTTCTAGCTGATTCTAGATGGGTTAAATGGAGTTTTAGATAAGTCTTTCAATTTCTAATATCTATATAACTTTCTTTCTCTCCCACAGGTCTACCTGATGGACAACGATCGCAAGGTGCTGAAGAAGCGCACCTCGCTGAAGCGCAAGGACCGCAGTCCGATCTTCAACGAGTCGATGATCTTCAGCGTGCCGCCGCCCAGCCTGACCACCGCCCAGCTGCGGGTGACCGTCTTCGGGGTGACGGCCCGCGGGGTGACCCCTCTGGGCCACATCGTCGCCGGCAGCTGTGCGGTGGGCAAGGGCCTGCGCCACTGGCACCAGATGCTCTCCTCGCTGCGGAAGCCGGTGGCCATGTGGCATGTCCTGCGGCGGGCGGTCAATCAACCGATTTTCACGGGCGGCGCCGAGGCGGTGGTGGCCGCCATGCAAAACACCCTGCAGCGCTCCACCGCCAAGCGGAACAGCATCGTCTAGAGGTCACCAGATCACTGGATCTCCGATCTTTAGATCACAGGCGGCATCTCCACAATTTTCCGCTTAGCTGGCACTCAATTTACCGCCATTTAGTTGGAAAAACATGAAACGAACCCTTTTAAAAAAGAGATACCTTTAGAAATGGAAAGTGGAAAATTGCATTTACCACACACTCTGGCCATGAGAATTTCTTACTTTTTTACTGCTTACGAACAGCAAAACGAACACAACCAGAAGTATTACTATAGATCCGTGTAATCTAAAAACCCGCACCAAAGGACAAACGAGCCTATTAACTAGTTATACAATATACCCATATTGTCGCGCACTAATTGTTATGTAAAGATTTATATGGATAGAATGGATAGAATGGATGCAAGCTCGATCGGAGAAGTCACACACATTTGTTGAAATTTGTCGCATACAGCGAGCGAAATAATTGAAGAAATCGGAGGTTCGGGAAAAAAATTAACAATTTTAATTCTAAAAAATATTTCTTTATGATTGAAGATCATCTATCACTTGGGATCTAATCTAGCCCAGATTTGATGGGAAATACAATTATTTCGCGAGCTGTATGATATAGTTTAGCGACCAGTGAGCCTGTTGCATAAGAAAAATCTATAAATACATCGTCGTTTGGCAATCAATCGTTGTTGAATTTGAGCCCAATCGAAATCGAAATTAAAAGTCGCTATTCGAAATTCGGAATTCGCGAAGTGGTGAGCCCTTTAAGCATTGTGATAAAATAGCAAATGAAGTGAACTCAGAATGCGTCTGTGTCAAGAGGAAAAATCAAAGTATCTACGATAGTTAGTTGCAATCCATAGCCGAGATGATATATGATATGATGTATTATGATATGATATCGTATGATATGCGAAGTTTGTACTTTTGTGATTTGCGTTCGTTCGAATTTTGTAGAGCCGCGTGTTTTGTAATTAGATTTAGTTGGTTCAAGGATCAATAACTTTTTAAAGGGGATATATATACACACAGCAATACGGACACATCTAGATTTCCATTTAGAGAGCGTTTTTTGAACAGTAAAGGACAATAACTTTGCAAGCATTTATGATTCAACGTAAATCAAGTAATTATAATTCGAGTTATCGAACGTTTATGAAAAGTTCGCTGTTGGCCCCGATTTACTGCATTACGATTACGATTACCAGATTACCAGATTGTCCGCTGGATCCTTGTAGTTTATAATAGAACGCACTCGCATCGAATGTCCTTTCCTAGTGGCGCACCTGTATTTTGACCAACCAATCGAATCGAAAACCTGGCACACTTCTAGCTGAAGCTTTAATCTACGTACTCCTCTAATAGAACTCAGTCGAAACTTTTTGAATCACACTTACTAAATGGTCATGCATATATTATATACAAACAGGGACAGTGCGTTTCACAATTGCAACGTGTAGCGAGTAGCGAGTAACGAGTGAGATGATATGATAATTCATTCAGATTTCCAATTCAACACCTTTGACGGTGACTTCGATTACATATCCCAATTAAAGGCTGGCTGAATTCGTTAATATTTGACAATCGCCTAAAGTTGGCCATCTTTTTCCCGCAATTTCAAAGTTGTGAAACGCCCTGTTCCGGAAATATATATATAACGAAACATATATAGAGATGGCATTTAAAAGGCATCGAACGAAAAGTCCTTACCCAAAGACACTTACTAGAATATAAAACGCTGAGAATTTTTTTTCTTTTTTACATACATATTAGCTAACGAAACGATAAAGCTAAACTCGTGTTGAATTTGTATTTATACGAAAATAAATATATATAAAATGTACGTGCTATATAAGATAATGCTACAAATTGTTATACAAGTAAACCGAAATTGAGTCAAATAAACGAATAAAGATATTAAAGGAAGACGGCCAGAAATCAATATGCACTTTCACCAAAGTCAGAGTCCAAACAAAGATGTGCGGATGGGAAGGGTACAGTCGAACCTCTATAAGACGAACAGGTAATACAAAAAACAAGGAATTATGATAGTCATTTTTTTTTATTCAAATTATATTTATTATATATATCCTTTAAAAATGTTTGATAAATTATCAAATAAAAATTTAATTTAAATAATACAATATATTTAATAGTTAGAGGATTTAAAAGAAGCGTTTTACCATTTAAAACTTTTTTTACCTTCTGAATGGAAATTTACAAATCAATTATCCTACCACAATTATTTATTTTTACATTTACATTTTATAAAGGTAAGGACAATTCAGAAAACTCCTTACATATTTGAGCATCCCTTTTAGAGAGGTCTTCCTGTGGCAGAATGTATCTTTCGGCTGCTGATGGGAGACATCTGGGCGGCCATTGGATCGTCTAAATTTAGAGCCAGCGATTAGCAGCCAATGGCAGGCGAGGTCCGATGCCGATACCAATCCCGATCCCTCAGATGCTCGGATGCTACGTGTGTGTACCTCGGATCCCCTGGGAGACCGAGACCACTTGACGCTGCCAGACTGTCTGACGCTGCGGCGACAAGTAGCCAGTGTTTAAATGTTCGCGCCCCGGTCCGCAGCCTTTTAGTCGATCAGCGAGTCAGGATGAGCAAGGACACGAGTGTTACAGTTACTAGGATTTGCCAGCGGGAGCGACGTCTTCTGAGGACGCCCAAATGCGCCAGGTGCCGCAACCACGGGGTCATCTCCTGTGTCAAAGGTCACAAGCGACTGTGCCGCTGGCGCGAGTGCTGCTGCCCCAACTGCCAACTGGTCGTCGATCGCCAGCGGGTGATGGCCGCCCAGGTGGCCCTGCGCCGCCAGCAGACGATGGAGGCCCTGGAGGCCACCACCTCCTCCTCAGGATCGAAGCACCCGGTGAATGGCACGACCTCCGGCAGCGAGGGCGAGGATTCCCTAGCCTCCTCTTCACCACCACCACCTCCGTCGGCTCATCCACAATCCCCAGCATCTGTGACCAACTCCTCCTCCTCATCATCCGCCACCCGACAGGCCCTGATGGCCCAGAAGAGGATCTACAAGCAGAGATTACGCAGTCTGCAGCAGTCCACGCTCCATATCACAGCTGCCATGGAAGGTTAGTACAATACAAGATAGGATCTAGACCCCAAAAAAAAATAGGGAAGCCTTTCCATTCCAATTTTCGAAAAAAGGTACCTTAAAATTAAAAATTTCTGATTAATCAAAAGTTTGAACAAGATAGTGTCTTCACAAAAATATATTCAAACTGACACCTTTTCGATATGATTTCATTTTTGAGATCAAATATATTTAGTACCTATATGAGCTTTACAAAGGTAAAACAGAAAAGTATAATATCCAGTTTAAATAAAAAAAAATCAACAAAAATTGAAACTCAATATAATTAATATCTTAACAGTTTAAATCCTAAAATTCTTTTTTTTTTACCTTGCCTCGTCAATTTATGATATTATTTGGTTGATGCAAATATAAAATAAATACCTACTATTTAAGTTGTTGAACTAAAGTTTATTAATAAACCAGTTTGTAAATGAATATTTTAGCTGTTTAGTTTGATCTTATCAAGTGCCTTAAAATCTAGAAATTTTATTTTTGTTTACCTTTTTTATGGTTTTATGGACTTATTCATTAATACCTTTATTATTTGATACAAGTAAATATTCAAATAGTGGAGAGTTCTCTTGTAAACCTTAAATAGGCTTTCCAATTTGGAAATTACTGGACGCAGCAATGCGAAGATAGCCCAGCTGAAATGATAGATACGACTCCCCCACTCCCCCTACACAATTTTCCATACGGTGCCAGACTGTCTGGCCCGTTCGTAATTGGAGATCCTCTCCTGCCTTTCGTCTTCTGTCTTTCGTCTTCTGTCCATGGACGTGGACTTCGTGGACAGGAAATGAGTGATGCTCAACAACAATAACAATAGCAATTATTCCTCCGACTGACGAAAACGAAAAGCAATTGAAATCGGATGCCTCGAAATGTGTGTGTACGCACATTTTCCAATCACTTGAGGGAGTCGCATCGCATTCGGTAAGCTGAGACGCGAGCAAAACGGAAAAACCTCTTCGGGATCAAGTGGAAATGTGGCAACAGCAATTGACTTCTTTTGGGTTTTTCCATCTGGTTTCCGAATAATAAGTGGCGATCCCCGGACCGAACCGATCCCGAAACGGTGCCAGACTGTCTGGCTCGTCGAGCGTCGCGTGTCTCGGATTACCCAATAATAAATGGGCAATCGATCTCATAACGAATCGCGGCAATTTGTAGTGATAACGCCCCTCTAACGACCACTCTTGACTGCCTCACTAATTTTGGTTATATTTCATACTTGATCTTTCAGAGTACAAGCAGCGATTTCCCACGTTCAGTTCGCCGCTGATGGAGCGCATGCGCAAACGACGGGCGTTCGCCGATCCGGAACTGAACCACGTCATGGAGGCGACGCTGGGCGGGAACGCTTTGTACTTTGCCACCGTTGCCGCCGCCGTCCACCAGGAGCACCTATATCACCCAATGCCGCCGACGATAACGCCCTCTGTTCCGCCCACCTTCAGTCCTGATGATCAGATGATGAGGAACACCTCGGGAACAGCCTCCATCTCCTCGATCTCCGAAAAGAAGCCCAAGCTGAGCTTCTCCATCGAGTCCATCATGGGCATCAGCACGTAGTCCCCATCCAAAATACTCTCTGTACATAGCCCTAGAATTAGACGATCTTTTTTTGACTAGACATAAGTTTCGAGTGAAATAAAACAATGGAAAAAAATGAGAAAATATACTTTTAAATATTACATTTTATATGTTTTCTTTAGACCCAAAGTAGGCTTTTAAAAAATATTCGTCCCTTGTACCTTTTTTAATATATACAGACCAGGACAGGATCGACACTACACAGTTTGGGGCAAATATAAAATTAGAGAGATCCAAAGAACACCATCGGATTCTGGGGCCCCTTTTCCATTGAGCCAAAACTTTGGAACACGCAGTTGGATCTATTTGGTATTCTGGTATTCGAAACTCCCTGCAAAATTTACCATTTCCATGAACTGTTCAAATATCTGATTTCTTTTTTCCACGCATAACGAAGGCAAAGATGTTTAAAAATCGAAGTAAGTATAGATTTATTTTCGAAATTATTTAATTTGCAAAGGTCTAATTGCTTAATTAAATATTTGTAAGGGAAGTATTCAATGTCAGTGAATTAGAAAACTTAGCAATATCATTTATTTGTTTCCGTTATTTTCGAAACATCTGGCGAGCTTTCCAGTGTTGCAACTCGAAGGCGTCTATCGATCTATCGCCGTCTATCGAAAGCCCCCTCCTACGAGGGATGCAGACGTGATATTTTTAAAACTTAATCATCGTGACTTTTCCACGCGCGCTGCAACAATAAGAAAAACATCTAGTCGGTAAATCAACTGAAGACAACAACTGAAAACATTGCCAGCACTTCGATTCGATTTCGGTTCGGTTTCAGTTTCATTTCAGTTGTTTAATTGCGTCTAGCGGCCAAGGAGCTTTGATTTTCTGATTCGATTCTGATTGGAACTCTCGCGCAACACACGCCACACACACACACATTAGGTATATACATGTACATATAGAATATGGTGTATGATAGGTTTATTAATAAGTTTATGGCAGTTTTTTGGGATCACAACAAACGCCGTTAGATAATCGCCACGCCCCCTTACGACGATACGCCCACCAAGGTGAACGCCGATTAAAAAGTGCAGCGAATCGATTTTCCGCTCTTGAACTACATAAATATATATATGTAGTGTATATACATATATATTTAAACACCGTGGCCGAGAAATTCTAATTGGGAGCAGCGAGGAAGTGACAGTGAAAGTGATTTGTGCGCCCAAAAAACTAAATACACTGATTTTGTTTATCGTTTTGCGTGTTTCTTTAATTGAATTGCGTGCCGTGTTTTTTGTGCCTTTTTTTTTGTTGTGTGTGTGTTCATTTTGTGCGGCGTTAACAGCTGTTTAGCAAGCCAATTAGCACATCCCCTCCCCCTTTATCCATTATATTTTCCCGTTTTTTTTTTTGCACCCATCTACGTGTCAATCGAGTTACAATATAATTTGCCGCCGTTTGGCAATGATTATGTTTATAAGTCATAAGTTGGCAAGGGCAAAAAAAACGCAGCTGATCCGAATCGCCAGGTTCTAATTGGATTCCTTATCAGTGCTATCTTATCCAGTTGGGATGCGGACAAATACTTCTGATAATCCGTTACCGGGGGGGTAAAAAAGGGGAGGCCAAAAGGGGGGCAAAGTGCACCAAATCCACATAATATTCTCATTTTTTTAAGTTCGTTGCATAAGCCAGTTTGTTGTCAAAACAAATCACAAACAAAGCGGGAACAGTGCCTCGTAAAATTTGTGTACCCACAAGATATGTATCTAAATTATTATAGAATGTTTAAAGTGTTTCCTTGAGAAAAATATGAATAAAAATAAAATTAATGAGGGATCATGATATACATAACTTGAAATAAATTTTAAATCCAAAATTAGTTCAAAATCAATATCTTATTTCAATTTAAAATCTTGTTCACATAAATGTTTGCGGAAAAAAAAGACAAAAGTTAAAGTAATGTTAAAATGTTAAAAAATTTTATTATTTAAAACAAAACCCTGAAAGAAAACTGTAATTAATTTAAAAACTTGATTTTTTAATCCACCAAGGAAATATTCTTAAAGATTTATTTCTTTATACGCTGATCTACTAAATAAATCATAAACAAAAAGGTTTAGTATTCAAATTTTAAACAAGATTCCCTAAATTGTTCTATATTTATTGATTGTCTTTGGTATAACATATCCAGAGATCACTGTTTAAATGTTTGTCCACCTCTTTAGATCGCAAATTTGGACTTCATGCCCCTTTATGTCTTCCCTTTTCTATGCCAGTTGAAACGCAACCGGTTTTCAAAGAATCTTTAAGTCGAATCACAAAATTATTCCCCAACGAGTTTGGGTTTGACTTGAATAAACAAAACGGCTTTATATACCACCGATATACAAAAATATACGCATGTATAGAATTTATTTTTTTCGGGCCATGTATTTAGAACGTTTTTAATTTCTAAAAATTCGCTGTCGCTAAAAAGAAAGCAAACAATCTGCGGCTGATTGACGCTTGATTTCGGTGCGAAAAAGTATAGTATGTTGGAGGTAATGCGATTTCTGGTCATTGTCATGTTTCTGAAAGATTCTTTGTCAGTTTTATTTTTCGTTTTTTTTAGCATTACGCAATTAGCGCTTCAAAGTGCAAAAATCAGAAACGTTGAATATAATATGTACATATATTAAATTGAGAGATGAGGAATCGTAAGCTTGGATGGGACGTCACTGATAAGCTCCGCTGGTTGGGATTTAGCTCAAAGTCAAAAGTACGCTTGACTGATAGGGGCAACGAATGATAGCCGCCGGATTTTATGGAGAAATAGAGCTATTAAATCATATACATAATGCCAGAGTAAATAACCCAAAAATCCGTTGGCTGCCTCTGAAAAAAAACTTCCACTGCGATAAGAGGTTTAATTAAAGATGGTACATTAACGTAACTTTTAATTACTGCTATTTTTAATTTCTGTATTTTTAAAATATTTAAATAGGCTAAACTTTATAGTCGTAGAGACTCAATTTCTTTACAAAGCGTGAAATTTTTGATTGCATTTTTAAAATGCGCGCCCAAATGCAGCTATTGGGTTTGCGTCCCAACTAAATGCACTTCGCCGCAACAGAGCGGAAAATTTAAATGTAAAATTTTCAAAGTTTGTAAATATTTACTCCTTATCTCTACATGAACGGAAAGCCAATAAATTATCGAACCACTTGCAGAGGCATTGATAAGCCCTAAAAATGTTACTGATAATTTGCCCTGCCGTTGATAAGATCAAATATATTACACCGAAGGAAAAAGATTAATTTCTTAAACGGTACATATTTAATTTTTAATCCAAAGAAGTTATATTTTGTGGGGTTCGAATTTTATAAAATGGTTTCTATTTTAATTTAATTCACTTAAATTTCTTGAATTTTTTCTTAAAATTAAGCTTGTTTTCTTTTGGTGTAGTGATAACAGCTGTCGAATTCGCCGCTCTTATAAAGCTCGACTCTTATACACGCACACACCCTCGATTCCACTTCTTCTTCTTCCTCTTCTTGTGCCGCTAATTTTTTGCCACTTATGCGCTGGTTTTTTAAGCAGCACATTTAGTATTAATTAACCAGAGTTTTCTTTCGTTGCAGAGATAATGAGTCGAATGCTAATTAAGCCCGTTTCGGCCGCTCTGCAGCAGCAGCAGCAGCGCCAGCAGTACGTCATTCGCCGCTGGAAATCGTTCCTGCAGAACAACAACAACAGAACGAAATCGACGACGCCGACTGCGGCCGCAGCAGCGGCAGCGACGTCGCAGCGTCACGGAAAAAGCAACGATTTCATTCAACCGTTAGACGTCCGCCGGTTAGTTTCTTCGCTCGCATGACGAAAAAAGAAGAGAGTGAAAAAGATATCTAAAAACATATCTCTAAAAAATATCCAAAATTTCCCACAAAAGTGTTTATAAAGTGAATTTCTGTATATTTTTTTCCCCTCAGTTCGTTTTCAACCAGCCACAAAATGCCGTCGTCGTCGAAAGCGCTACAATTGGATAACATAAATCCAAACTTCATCGCCATGGAGTATGCGGTTCGCGGTCCTCTGGTAATTCGTGCCGGAGAAATCGAAAAAGAGCTGGAAAAGGTGAGTACTAGTCACTAGTTCTAGTGAAATTGAACCAAACAAAGCGCTAAATGCGACGCCATTATCTAGCGTTTTATTCCCCTTTGATTCCCTCAATTTAATGGCAATTCAAAGCCCGCATTTTAATGTTTAAGCACGCTATATCTTTATATACAAATATGTATGTTGGTGTGTACATATGTATAGATGGGCTGTGCCTGTGTTTGTTTTGCCGCTTTGCCGCCCTTTTATACGTTCAATTCACGCTTGAATGGGCGGGAACGCCGCCGTGAATCATTCACCTCGTAATCACAAACGAACCCATTTCAAGGACACCTGTTGAAAAAAATACCCACGAAAATAAGTAATAAAGTTAAGAAAGTTTTGACTATATTAAAGAGTTCCAAAATATTACATGTTACAAAAAAATAGGGGTAGAATATTCTCATTTATGTGAATTATGTTTTAAAATTGTTTAAAATTAGTGTAGTAAAATTAAGTTTGAAAAAAGCATTAATGGACCTAAATTGTTTTTAATCGCCATATGTTTAATTTCTTTCGTGAGCGAAGAATGTTTACCAAAAAAGAGGGCAAAGCTGATAGAAACAAGTGTTTGTTTTTAGTATACAAGTGTATACACTTGAAAGAACTAGGGTTTTAAAAATTAGTTTGTTTTTCTGAAATTAAAATTAACATTTATATCATAAAGTTTTGTTTTCTGTACATGCTTTTAGTGATTAAAAGTGTATTGCTTCTTGTGTTTTTTTATGAACAATTATGTTTCGACTGAGCCACTTGAAAAATACTGTTTCAAAATCTTAAAGAATTCTGTTTGTTTAACTAAAAATTAAGGAAATAATTTATGGGGTTCCTCAAAACGTATATTCTTTTTCACGGAATATATAGCGCACTTAAAGCTATCGAAAGTAATCCAAGAATTCAGATAGCCCGAGGCAATTGTAATCAAACTGCCGTAAAGTTATCGAAACTTATCTAAAACCGAGCATATTCTTTATAATGCCGAAAATGTTTGCAGTGAACTTTGAGTTGAGGGAATTACACTTTTTGGGGCTGGGTAAACAAGTCAATAAACTAATTAATTTAAGTACTGTTCGCCAGTGTGAATGATTTTTCCCTCGGGAGCTTGCCAAATGCCGCTTACCCGTTTTCTCATCTCAAGAACCCAGTTTTTATTCAGTTTTTCATAACGAGACCATAACTTAATTGCTAATGAATGTTTTCTAATTATTCCAAATTGTATTTCTTAGACTTTAATTGAAGTAGAGGACTCACTTGTGACTAATTTCGGGTTCACTGAACGACCTTCAACTTGGCTTACATAAGTGCGGAAATTCTGGGTGGGCGGGAGGATTCCGTGGACCTTTTCCTTATCAGTGTGAAAGTGAAAAATCATAACAAAGACCGAACATGCGCATGAGCCATGGGAATATGTTGTACACACCACGCTTTCTTGGGATTTCGACTGCGATTTCTCTTCGAACTTTGCTGACCTGCAGCGTACAGTACATATATGCGAAAATATATAACCACATATATTTAAATCCATTGTTGGCCCCGCTGACTTTTCACATTCCCGCTGACAGCCAGTTGATTTCCCCCCAGTTTTCCCGCTGCGATTGATTTCCTTATCCGCACGACCGAATCTTGTGCTGTTCTTTCTGCGTTTTATCAAATTCCTACACTTGTGCACAGATGCACGATTCGATTCTTGGCAGTGTTCCAAGAAAAACTCAAGAAAACCCATCATCTGACAGCAGCAGACATTCTTATCAGTTGAGAATATATTGCCTTTATCCTGGTCTCAATGAAACATGTCACTTTATTAACTGGTAAAAAATATATAATAATATATTGCATTATTCATATTATAACCGGTCCTAATATCAACAATTCTGAATCAAATTTGTTTGTTTTCACTTCCATTTGACATTAAAATACGCTACGTTGATCGTTATAACATATTATTATACTTTCGGCTCGTTCAGCGATAAAGTCCGGGTTGCCAACGCCTTTTATACAAGGCCTATATGATTATACGACCCTAACTGTACGGGTATATAGTTATCAATTATATTGCCACTTAGCACAACAAAAAGTTTGTTTACAACGATTTCGAGTGCGAAATGATTGAAGGGTATAGGTATGGCAAGAAAACATGGGAGAGCGAATCCGTAAATAATTCTAGAAGCGCGAACAGCGCTGGTCAATCAATTAGTGGCCAAGTCTAAATGATGCTAATAACTTGGCTATAATTCTAAGTGGGTTTCAAATTGATCGCCGCATTAGAACTTGTGCGGTTTTTAGTTTTCAATTACTATTTCCCCTTTATTCTCCTAATATTTTTACCGGCATTGTTATATAGAAGCGATACAGCCGATTTCTATACATATTTCCATGTGAAGTACAAACAGACTGCGGGTGCAATCCATTTGCCTCGACTTGGCAACGCTTTTATCAGTAACTTTCGAAATTAAAAAAGAAATAATTACCAAGATTCGATAAGGTGGCGCGATGGCTTTTGTGAGCACGTTTGCACGGTGAGAACTTTGCGAAGAATGACATCCGTGTTGAGCTGCGAATTCCCTAATTTTCCAATAATCACATTGTCAGGCAAAAACACACCGAGTGCCCAGTGACGTCAACGATGTAGCTCACTTACATGGCGCAATTCGCATTATTTAGCCACCCAGAAAAGCACACAATATCCTCCACCCTCCTCCTCCGTGACATTATGTGGTAAATTGCCCATTCGAGCGTGGTTAAATGGAACCCGAGACGACGGGGCCTTTAATGAATGCAACTTGCATGTGCCCTGTGAAAATTGTGTGTTACTCTGTTGACAGTTTCCACAGCGAATTACTGTGTCCTCTGTTCGTGCGGAAAAATGGGGTATAATGAACTCGATTCGGAATGGGATTACTTCTGGCTAGTCGCTTTAAAATTACCAGGAAATCTAGGCAAACATTTACTATTTAAAACGAAATTTAAACCATATTTCACATATTAACATTGTTGGAAACGTAGACCCGTATTTTTATACTACTGAACTATTATATAGGTTTATTCTGTTTCTTTAGAAAATCATTAGGTTCTTTAACGCATTTGACTTAGTTTCTAGAGGGGATTAAAATATAGTATATATAGGATTTTTTAGATCTTTTATTTCAATCCGTTCTGGGTACTTTTTGATACTTCTTGAAAATAGGACATTAGAATTATAACACCTGAAGTACCTTTGTGTACCATTTATTGTTGTATATTTATTCTAAACCTACTTCCCTACTTATCCCTAATAACAGAAAACTGTTTGCCCTATGACACATTAGTGATAAATATTGAATGGAAATTGCAGTTCCATCGATTACTTTTACCCTGATTGTAAATATTCCATGCGGTCAAGTGTTTGTCCTCAATTATAGGGCTGCGCTAATTCCGATTTGAGACCACTTGAGGGTAATTTGCATAGAGAAAGCCGCGAATTAAAAGCTCATTTGATCCGCCTGGCCGGGCTATCATCATCATTCAATTTGACTGTCCACCGAGTAAACAATGTCTAATTCACCATCCGTTTTCGATTGAATTTGATTGCAGGGTGCTAAGAAGCCGTTCGACCAGGTGATCCGTGCCAACATCGGCGACTGCCATGCCATGGGCCAGCAGCCCCTGACCTTCCTGCGACAGGTGAGTGCTTGGCTTTAGTTTGCTCGCTAAATTAAATATTGATTATTATCTATTTTATTCACCAGCTGATGGCGCTGACCTTCGAGACTCGCCTGCTCGATTCGCCCGACTATCCCGAGGACGTGAAGAAGCGCGCCTGTGCCATTCTGGACGGCTGCCAGGGTCAGTCGGTGGGCTCCTACACCGACTCCGCCGGCCTGGAGGTGGTGCGTCGCCAGGTGGCCACCTACATCGAGAGGCGCGACGGCGGCATCGCCAGCGACTGGCAGAACATCTACCTCACCGCCGGCGCCTCGCCAGGCATCAAGAGCATTCTCTCCATGATCAAGTAGGTTCAGGGTTTAACTCAGTTCCGGAAAAAGATAAGACCTTTCTTTTTGGAGACACATATCTCATAAAGCAGGAGATATGCCTTATTTTTGGCATGCAAATTGTAGCTTTATAGCCGCTTTATAGCTCAAGGGTATTATTAACCTAATTTGGTTTATGTAGAAATACTACTGGGTGGTTCCAGAGTTTTGGTAGTAGCGAACCTTATCAAGATAAATTTTGTATGCCTTTGCAAGCGTAGCTCATTAAAATTTTAGGAGTTTATTGCTAACACTTAACTGGATATTGATATAATATATCAAATATATTAAAATATTGATAAAAGATATTAAATATATAAAAATATTGATATAATAGGTATATTAAAAAATATAAATATATTTATTAATCAAGTTTTTCAATTGAGGAATAATAAGAACCATAATTTAAAAGAAGACAATAAGAATATGGCTTTCTTTTGAGGATTATTCCAATGTAAGCTATCAAAAAGTTATCAAAAAAGTTATTCAAATCCAATTTCAACTTGAACATAAGTTTCTCCATATAGAATATAGCTAGACCCAAGCTTTATTAATTGTTTGTGATTTATAAAATGGGAATTTGAATTCACTTAATTAAGTTTCTATGAAAAGAAATCAAAAGCCATGACAACTAATTTCCAACCCATTTCTCGCCCATTTCAGCTCCGAGGTGAACGGCAAGCCGCCAGGCGTGATGGTGCCCATTCCCCAGTACCCACTGTACTCGGCCACCATCTCCGAATACGGCATGTCCAAGGTGGACTACTACCTGGAGGAGGAGACCGGCTGGAGTCTGGGCAGGAAGGAGCTGCAGCGCTCCTACGACGAGGCCAAGAAGACGTGCAATCCGCGCGCCCTGGTCGTGATCAATCCGGGCAATCCCACCGGCCAGGTGCTGACCCGCGAGAACATCGAGGAGATCATCAAGTTCGCCCACGAGAACAAGGTGCTGCTGCTGGCCGACGAGGTGTACCAGGACAATGTGTACGACAAGAACTCCAAGTTCTGGTCCTTCAAGAAGGTGGCCTACGAGATGGGCGAGCCCTACCGCAGCCTAGAGCTGGTCAGCTTCCTGTCCACCTCGAAGGGCTACCTGGGCGAGTGCGGCATTCGCGGCGGCTACATGGAGGTGCTCAATCTGGACCCCAAGGTCAAGGCCATGCTGACCAAGTCGATAACGGCGGCGCTCTGCAGCACCACCGCCGGCCAGGTGGCCGTGAGCGCCCTGGTCAACCCACCGCAGCCGGGAGAGCCCTCCTACGAGCTGTTCAAGCAGGAGCGCGACGCCATCCTGGCCGCTCTGAAGGAGCGCGCCGAGCTGGTTCACAAGGCGCTCAACAGCTTCGAGGGCTACAAGGTGAACCCGGTGCAGGGCGCCATGTACGTCTTCCCCCAGATCGAGATCCCGCCCAAGGCCGTCGAGGCCGCCAAGGCCAAGGGCATGGCCCCCGATGTTTTCTACGCATTTGAGCTGCTCGAGACGAGCGGTGAGTGTTCTTTCGAAGGCATTTCCCTCCCCCTATTTTGCTAATCCTTGGCTCTCTCGCAGGCATTTGCATTGTTCCTGGCAGCGGATTTGGCCAGAAGCCCGGCACCTGGCACTTCCGCAGCACAATCCTCCCGCAGACGGACAAACTGAAGCTGATGATGGAGAAGTTCCGCGTGTTCCACGCCGACTTCATGAAGAAGTACAAGTAGACGACCTCCCCGGCCACACACCCCGTCCTCCGCCCCCGCCCCCAACATCCCTGTGTTAAAGTGTCGATCCTCCAGCTTAGGATTAAAATATAAAATACCTTACTTGTTTTTTTTTTTCTCTTTGTTACCGTGTCATAACTGAATGCTTCTATACTCTTCTTTATATATAAAATATATATAAAATTTTGTGAAACAAAACTCTTGAGTCCCTCTGATTTGTATCCTCTATGACGTTTCCAGTTAGCAATTAACCCAATTAACTATATATAATCTTGATTCGTTTTTGAATTGATTCTCCTGGCGGAGAAGTGACAATAATTTGTTAATTGTTAGAGCCAAGAGTTGTTTATTACTTGTTGGTCGGCGCAAAATTAAAAAATTCTGATATTGTTCTAGACGAAAGTTATTTGCATTGTGTATACGTATGCATATTTATCTACATATTTATAGCCCTGCATGTCCTTTACCCAAATCGATCACGATCAAGTCATTACTAAGTGTTATAGAAAAGAATACAAAAAATTATGAAAATAAATATTATTGTTAAACAAGTTTTGGAATGCTTTTAAATTGGTCAATGGGAGGATCGATTAATCTAGCAGTTTTTTCGCTAAAACAAAGCAAATACTGATTCAAAGTATGGATTGTCATACCTTTCTGAACTCGTTATTAAATTTTCTAACGATTGGCATTTACACCTTGACATTTTATTTATTTTTACTTTTTCGCAAAAAATCATGGGGTACCCCCTTATAAAAAAAATTAAAAATTGACGAAAATTTATTTTTTCCAAAATCACACGGAAAGTGTTCTGGATTAATTGATCATTTTGTTATCTTTTCAAAACAGTACGTATTTTTGGTGTAGGACCATTTTTGGCCAAGTTACACCAAAAAAGCAAAAGAAAAATTCCAATTTTTGTCAAAAAATGAAATCACGGATTTAAAAAAAAAACAAAACCGGTTTTCTCGCTAAAACAAAGCAAATACTGATTCAAAGTATGGATTGTCATACCTTTCTGAACTCGTTATTAAATTTTCTAACGATTGGCATTTACACCTTGACATTTTATTTATTTTTACTTTTTCGCAAAAAATCATGGGGTACCCCCTTATAAAAAAAATTAAAAATTGGCGAAAATTTTATTTTTCCAAAATCACACGGAAAGTGATATGGATTTACTTATTATTTTGTTATCTGTTCAAAACATTATGTATTTTTGGTATAGGACCATTTTTGGCCAAGTTATAGCAAAAAAAACAAAAAGAAAAAATGCATAATTTTATCAAAAAACCAGAGCCCGAATTTTGCACACAAACAAAAGGGTTTTGGCCGAAACAATGAAAGTTCTGATCCACATACGGATTGTCATAAAATCCCATCGAAAAATAAGAAGACCAACGTAGTTTGGTTTTAAATTATGTTCAATTTATTGATTTTCATTTCACGACTTAATTACTTGCACTTCCGTAAATCAATCGTATATAGAAACTGCTTACGTCTTCTTTCCATTCATTTCTCACTTGACATTTTGTGTTGCGACAGATCCGGAGAAAAACAATGGCTCCGCGGATATAGAATAGCAATTACCTGCGACATTCTTTGTGTGTTGTTGTAGTTGTTGGTTGCTGCACATCTTCTCTTAATCATTTTCATTTTCTTTCCCTTCTTTTTTTTGAATTAAAGTCTACCAAAGTCTTAAGGCCTAAATACCAATATGTACCGTAGTTGTACTGTGGCTATACTTGCGATCCGTCCAGATCGGAGATGGCTGGGTTGTGTGTGGTGGTCTTTTGTGGAGTTGCTCGTTTTTTATAGTAATTTGTAATGATACAGGGAGGGGATATATAGGACGATCGTTTTGAGTCAAACTAAGGAATCTGTGGACCTTTCTTGTGGGGTGAAAACAGACACATTTGGCCCCAACTCTGTGGCTATGCTATATATCTATATATATATATATATTTATATGTGTGTGTAGTCCGGATTGGGGCTGCTCTCCTCTCAAACTCGAACTCCTCGTCTAATGGCGGTCCCTGGAGTCGGAGCGGCTGCGACGATCCCGCGAGAAGCTGCGACTGCGTGTCCTGGAGCGGCGGGGTGAGCGGGATCTGCAAAGAAATGGGTGGCGTTGGGGGAAACATATTGGGCACGACACACAGACAGGATACAGAAAGAGAGAGAGAGAGAGGAGAGAGAAAGAGAGAGAGAGAGAAAATACAAATTAAATAGATTTTGCACTAACAAGTCACTTAACTAGACGTGTAGTAAGATAATTCCTTAAGATACGTAAAGTTGATAGAGTGGTCTCGATCAAACAACACACAACTTGGGCTGTTGGATCTGGTGGATCGGATACGGATCGGAGAGCTGATATTGGAGCTTTAATTTGAGCTGAGCGGAGCGGAGCTGAGAGCGGAGAGCTGGCTGTATCATAATCATATTTTTTTTTGTGGCTGAAGGTGCTTGAAGGTGGTGGAGATATAGCTGATATATATTTTGGTTTTTTTGGCCCCATTTTACGAAAGCGTTGGTGTGACATTTACATAAAGTAATTGGTGGTGGTTGGTTGGATTGGTTGGCTGATTGGTTTGTTGGTAGGTTGCTTAGTTGGTTGATGAGCAGAGCAGACTGAGAAGACTGTTGTTGTTGTTGTAGTTGTTGTTGAATTGTAGTAGTAGTAGTAGGTTCTTGTTGTTGAATTGTTGTTGAATAGTTTGGGCTGTTGATACGATACGATTCTGAGCTGATTGACTGTGACTAGGGTGGCTGTGTTGTGTTTCTTAATAATTTTTTTTGTGTGTGTTGTTGGTGGATAAATATATAGATTGGTGAATCATTCTATTCTGTTGCAGCAGCCGAAGAACGTAGGTCGTATGAAGAAGCAGTTGGTGGGGAAGCATCAGTTAGCAGCAAAGGAGGATCAGGTGGTGGTTGTGGTTTTTTTTTGGTGGTGGTGGTGGTGGTTGTGGTGGCGGTGCTGCTGCTCCTACCATCCGCGATGTGGAGAGGCGAGAGGCTTGAAGAAGAAGTAGACCCTGCCCTGCTGATGCTGCCTGGTGCTTGGTCGACTGTTGTGGTGGGGTCGTTTATTTTTTGGTTGGTGAACTGATCGGTCTGGTGGTCTGACTTTGAGTTCGAGTTGATCGGATCAATGCATAGGCACATTAACACAATATTTATACACAGGGAGCAGTAGAGAACACAGTTAGCGCGAACAACATTATCTCAGTAGATGGTTATTGGGATACAAGAACGAAAGATAAAAAACATTAGCAGAAACCATAAATAGAAATATAACAAACGGATTTCGTTAGACACGTTACGTTTTTCGTTTCGGATCGATTCGAAGGGGAGAGTGTTGTTGGTGGCTGCCAAAGGTTTCATACTTGCTGCGATTGAAGGAATTAGCGTGAAGCAGCCTCAATCTTGTTTGATTGCAAGGGAAAGGTGCAACTACTGAGTGGTGGAGCCAGCGAAAGATCTGCGAAAGAGATACTTTTGCTGACTGGCTGCCTGGATGTTGTTGTAGTAGAAGTAGTAGTAGTAGAAGCTGTTGTTGTTGCAGTTGGTCTTTGTAGCTGTAGCTTGTTGCTGATGCTGCTGTAGCTGCACTAAAGATGACGGATGATGAGGTGGTGGGTGGTTGGTTGGTTGGTTGGTGGTTGGTTTGTTGGGGACGAAGGAAGCAGGCTGAAGACAACCGCACAACTCGGAGGCGTAGGAAGTTGACTTATTGAAGCGTTGCTGGACTGGTGAGTGTGTTTATATAGATATATATATGTATGCATAGGCTGCATATTGGAGTTAGATTCTTGATGGAGTTGCTCTGTTGCCGCCGCTGCCCGGTTCGCTGTGGTTCTTGGTGATTAGTGTGGTTGTTAATGGCAGAGTGTGTTGTGTGTGTGTGTGTGTAGCCTGAAGATGGTGTCGTCAAACTAACGGACCAGAAATGATGTGAAATTCTTTGCACTAATGGGGCAAACGATCACTTTTCATTTGATTTTACAAAAAGGAAGAACAACAACAACCACAAACCGTTTTAGAGAATGCGGAATTTGGTATAGGAATGGAATTTCATATTATTTAGGGAGCAAAAGCGAAGGATTCCTTTGTTATTAAGCTATTTAACAAGTGCAATGGAAACAATGATCGTTTGCCCTGCAGTGAAATGTAGTTAGGTGGCTGTGGGTGTTCTTTGACTGCTTTTGGGTGCATTATTCTTATAGCTGCGGAGCCGGAGACGTTGCTGATGATTCTCTTAGTCTGTTCTTTCGGCCTGGGTCGAGCTGAACGAGGTGGTGGAGGGGTGGTTGGTGTAGTGTTGCGGTCGTTCGGTTCTCGGTTCTGTGGTCAGCGGAATATATCGAATTTGTTGAATTTCTGACTCTGACTAGGGCCGCACAACAAATTGTTATTATTGCATGGTGGTGTGGTGGTGGTGGCTGTTGTTGTTGGTGGTGAAATGTGTGTAATAGGAGGAGCAGGATCTGCTGTTGTACTAGTTGTTGTTGTTCTTGTAGTAGCTGTTGTTGTTCTTTTTGTTGTTGTTGTTGTTGTTGAAGGAAGAGGAGTAGTAGAAGTTCTAGTAGTAGTAGCTGTTGTTTTTCTTTTCTTTTTCTTTTTTTTTGTTGTTCTTTTAATTATTATTATTATTATTGATGTTGTTGTTGTAGTAGTAGTTCTTGTTGTGCTTGTTGTAGTAGAAGAAGAAGACTTTATCCTGCAAAATGATTGTGAGACCACATTAAAATTGGCTCCAAGCGTTCGATTTACTTTGTTTTTACTATGTTTTTTTTTTTGTATATATAAATATATATTTTTTTTGTAATTTTTTTTTGTTACTAAAAAACAACAAACAAAACGTTTTCTCTAGATAAAAGCTATACTCTTTGAACTTTAAACTATGGACCTCGGGTGCATTAGAATGAGCAATGAAATGGGGTACTAATAACTAGATTTCCCATAAAGAAAAAAGTCAAGCTAGAAAATCGATAGGATGGCAAAAACAACCAGGACTTCTTGCCCAGGACGCCACTGTGCGTGCGCGCGGTGCGGTAGGACTGTTCTTTTTTCTCGATTTTTTTTTTTCGGACGCCACTGTGTGTGTTTATGTGTGGCTTACAGTGGTGGCCCACTAAATGGGATGTGTGTGTAATTTGGCTGGCGCCCCGCTTTCGTATGTATACGCGAATCGATTTTTCACATGCATACATACACACAAAAACACACGCACGCACGACACAGATCATCAAATATATACGCTATATATATATGTGTGTTTCTGCATACTTTCTTGCACATATTGGCAAAAATTATGATGTTTCATAATCGAAAGGAGGTTGACAGTGGGTTGGAATGCCATGATGTACTCACCTATAGCGACCGCCGCCGTCGCCAGCTCTTGTGCCGCCTCCAGCGCGGGCTCCGCTGCCTCCGCCGCGGCCACCGCCCCCGGAGCCGCCACCACCACCGCCGCCGCCGCCCCCGCCACGCCCCTCGCGCGAACGGCCGGAGGACATCTCGACGCGGATGCGGGTGCCGCAGCAGCGGGTGCCGTCGAGGCCGCGGGTCGCGTCCTCCGCATCGCGGCGATCCTCGAACTCGACGAAGGCGAAGCCGGGCGGATTGCGGGCCACCCAGACGTTGCGCAAGGGTCCGTATTTGCTGAAGGCGTTCTCAATCTCGTACTTGGAGGCCGAGGAGCCCAGGTTGCCCACGTACACCTTGCAGGCCAAGTCCCATTCCCGGTAGCGTGGCATTATGTCGGGTTAAGTGTGTGTATCTATGCAGCCTAGCTAGCTGTCTCAGCTGTCTCGGTGGATTTTCCTCCTCTTTTGGGGCCTTTTATTTGGGTTTCCTTCGGTTTTATGCGCAGCAAACACACCCAAAAACAGGACAAGAAAAAATGTTTGTGGGGAAAAAAAGATGGCGTTCTGTCTAGGGTTGGAAAGGCCCAGTTGGTATTAAGACCAAAACAGAGGGTCACTCTAAAAATGGGTTTGCGTCTTGGCTTGAGATAGCCGTGTCACAAACCTGACAGGCTATCGATGTTTTACCACCTCTATTCTATTATTTAATATAGGCACATTATTATTGCCCCTTTTCCGTTCGTTTGGAGAAACTTGAATCAAATATCGCCGCACAAGATGGCCAAGAGCCCCGAAAACATAGCGCTCGACCAGCTGGACAAGGACCAAATGAAGACGGTGAGTGGGGCGCAGCCATGGCCATAAAACACCAAAAACCGGCGATTATCAAGTGATGCAATGTGGTTTTCCTTTAATTTTTGCTCCCATTTACCATCCAGTTTTCCGACTTCCTGATGTCCTACAACAAGCTCTCCGAGATGTGCTTCACAGACTGCGTGCGCGACTTCACATCGCGGGATGTCAAGGATTCCGAGGTGAGCTGCCATGTGGAAGCATCTGCATCTGATCTCAATAGAAACTTTAAATTTCCACAGGAAAAGTGCTCGCTGAACTGCATGGAGAAGTACCTGAAGATGAACCAGCGGGTCTCGCAGCGCTTCCAGGAGTTCCAGGTCATCGCCAACGAGAACGCCCTGGCCATGGCCCAAAAGACTGGCAAACTGTAGGTGTTGTTATAGCTGTAGGATGTTATTATCAATCTTAACTAGTTTAGACAACTGAGATGATGCATTTTTCCTGCATTTGTCAAAATAGCTGAGTAAAGAAACGCGTTGACGGTGGCCCGACGATTATTGTCTACTATTCGATTATTGTGGTACTTTATTGCTGATTGATTGATTCATTGATTGGTGATTGATTACGGTCTAGAGATCTTGTTTGAGAAAGACACAAGTGTTCACAGTCCAGTGGGACCCCTCTCTCTCTTTCAGCACTTCAGCCTCATGACATTTAAATGGTAGAATCGGGCGCCGCAGCTGCTTACGTGCTAGATGTGCCTATAACTACGTTTAAGTCACGTTAAGACAGAGCCGTAGGCGTAGGTGCGTAGGAGCTCCGTGCCGGAGACCCCGGAGCCGGCAATCTACGACTACGGCGATCTCTAAACTAGGTCTAATGCATAGCGGCCATCGCCTGTGGCCGTCTGCTCAATACTTAGGGCTACACACGGTTCGCCAATGCGTGCTTCTCGTTTTCCGGCTGGCTGGCTGATCGATTGGCTCAATGACTCGTAGTGGCTGCCTCCGAGGGAAAGCCCTCCGCCTCGGTGATGAGGGCGTACTCCAGGATCACGCGGCCCTCTTTGTACCTGTGGGATGGGATGGGAAAAGCAATTAGTAAGACATCTAGGTATCTTAGTACTTTAAAGTAATTCTTAAACAGCCTTAAAATCAACTAGAAACTCAAATTTTCTTAGTAATCATAGCTTGGATACTGTTTCTGGGCGGAGTTCAATATTAAAATGGTGATATTTATGTTTTATAGGATGACTATAGTGCAACAATTATGCTGTTTATGATTGTTACATCCCTCACAAGGTATAGATTTATCCTGCAATTGATCTATATTTTCTAAAGCCTGCTTCTTATTGATTTCCTATTGGAAATCCTCAATTAGGAATGAAGCTAAGTAACTAAAACTATTGGATATCATTTATAACAGATAGTTAGAGTAACTGAACCTCTAGAATCCCAGATAAGCAAGGAGTTCCCAAGCTTTTTTACAAAACTACAATGGATTGGTTAATTCTGATCTAATGCCTGAACTTTAAGATTCCCTGAGCCCTCAGTTTTACCCACTTTTGGGACTCCTCGGTGGCGAACTCGTACATCCAGCCCAGCTTGGCGCCGCAGTTCTTGCACATGACGTCGCGCACCATGTGGCGGCCGGTGAGCATGACCCGTTCCTGGATGTTGCTGAAGGTCAGGTTGACCACTCGCTTGAACAGATAGGCGCGTCCTGTGGGGATTACAAATATTTACCATTAATATTGCATAACCAAAAGGCAGGTAAACTCACCTGTTGCGCCCGTGAATCGGGTGCTGATCAGTTGGCTGCGGTTGGTCAGGTTTGTGTGGCACTGGGCGCAATTGAAGAGTTTCAGGCCGCCCAGGTGCTCCAGAAATATGCGTCCCATTTTGCTCCCTCTCTTTCTCGCTCGCGCTCTTCTAGTCTCGCCCCGTCTCGCTTGCTCCCTCTGTCGAGTGCGTGCCTCTGCGTGAGTGTGTGTGTGTGTTTGTGTGATGGTCTTCCTTTGTTCCTATTAAATGCGGGGAATAATACGGGTTTAACTCCGATTACTTCCTGGCCTTGTAATGCCCCTTATCTATATCTTTTGTTTTGGACTCCACTAATTGCGTCCCACTTGCACAACCCCCTGAATGACAACAACAACAACAACGCAGTACCTTACTCAGCTGTTTGAGGTTGTTTCTGCGGGCAGAACCCTTGTCACGGGATCGTATGGACTGATCTGTGTCTCCTCCGTCGTTGCAATCGGATATGTGAAGGATATATATCACCGATTTGGGTCTAGAACTGAACTAATGCGACGCTTGCACAAAAAAAAAACAACAAAACACTGCGGAATGCTTTCTAGGGTTGTCGCCGTGTTCTGCGATATCGATACGGAGCTATCGAAAGCGAGTGGATCTAGGGATGGCAAATAGAGTAGTGGCAATTAAATTTTATTAATTTAAGTAGGTTTGTATTATAAGTTGCTAAGCTAGCGTGTTTCTATTTTTAATTCCTTAATTTATTACACCAATTAGATTGGTTTGCTAAATCTGTTTTTGTATATCTTTATCTAACATATATTTCTTAGTTTTTAATCTTAAAATATATTTCTTATTTTTAGTTTTTTATATCAGTAATAAAACCATTAAAATACATATTTTTTATTTAGTTTAATGTAAATGGCAAGCTTACGATTAGTCAACTATCGATAACACACTTGAGCCAGCCCTGGACGGCCAGCTGTTCGCTACACGTGATAGTTGTTATTGTTGTTGTTGCTGTTGCTGTTGCGTGTGTCCGAATTGCCTTTCAAATCCAAAGTCAAATCAAAATAACAAAATTCGAAAAAAAACCATGTGTATATCTTGCTAAACTCACCCCAGAACCCGAGAACCACAACCCATTTGGACACCGCTAACATTATGGCCGGCCCGCAGGCGGAGGGCATGTAGATATCGAAGAAACCGCCAAAAAAACGAAAAGAAGAACCCTACAAAACCCCTTGGAGATTGAGGAATCCTAGCCGGACAGCATGCAGACGCTGCGCAGCTGCCCGGCCCGTGGCCTAATCCTCTCCAGCGCCCTGCGCGGCCAGCGCAGCCTGCGGACGAGCTGGCCACGGAGGAGCGGCACAGCCGGCGGAGGCACCACCTCGACCATTGGAGGCCTGGGGGCGCTCCAGAAGCTGCGGGAATGGCATGCGAACGCCTTCAGCAGCCGCTTCCTGCTCTTCACCAACGTGGGCATCTCGCTGACCCTCAGCTGCGTGGGCGACATCCTCGAGCAGCATCTGGAGATCTACTGCAACGAGATCGAGCGATTCGAGGCCACCCGCACGGCCCACATGGCCATCAGCGGCGTGACGGTGGGCGTGATCTGCCACTACTGGTACAAGATGCTCGACAAGCGGCTGCCCGGTCGCAGCATGCGCGTGGTGGCCAAGAAGATCGTGCTCGACCAGCTGATCTGCTCGCCCATCTACATCACGGTCTTCTTCGTCACCTTGGGCCTGCTGGAGCGGAAGGACAGGCACGAGGTGTGGGAGGAGATCAAGGAGAAGGCCTGGAAGCTGTACGCCGCCGAATGGACGGTGTGGCCGGTGGCGCAGTTCGTCAACTTCTACTGGATCCCCGCCCACTACCGCATCTTCTACGACAACATCATCAGTCTGGGCTACGACGTGCTCACCTCGAAGGTCAAGCACAAGCAGTCGCATTCGCACCTCAAGAAGATTCCCTAACCCAGCGCCTCTCCGCCTCCTTTTGCTTGTAACTATTTATTATCGAACCGAAAACCTTGTAAATACAGACGGGCGCGTGTACAGAGACCAAGCGAGTGTGTTGTTAATGTTGTTCATGAGGTTTTGACAAAGGACCAAGGAGCACTATGATCTGGAGTGACCGAAAAGGAAGCCCGTGCCGATGACGCACATCCAGCTCGTTGGCGTTGATAAGATTCCCTCTAGCAACAGTCGGGCTGGCAAACAGGCGATGCGATGAGATTGGAGGCGATGCCAAGCCTACCTTCCAAGTTGCCTCCACCTGATAAGCTCTGCTTGGCAGCCGCCTCAAAAATAAGCCACAGAAATAATAACCAACCGACGGTGATAAGAGGCATCATTAGAAAATGTATAGCTATAAATATAGATGGACACGTGAGGGCTTCTATTCTATTCTAAAACTGAACTCACGAAGTTCCTTCTTTTTTTTTTGCTGATTTGACTTTCAAAGATTCTAATGGAAATTAATTAGAGGTGTGTCGCTGCTTTAGAAGAAATTATAAAAGGATATAAGCTAAAATAAACAAAGTTGGTTTATTAAATTATTTGTTTCTGAAATAATATAAGAATATTAGCTAAAATAAACAAAGTTGGTTTATTAATTTATTTGTTTCTGTTACATTATTCTTTATAAGTAGCTACCACCTATAAAATAATCTTATCAAGTCTTGAAATATTTTGGCAACACGTCATCCAGTCTCCAGTATCAGTATCTTTATATATACCATATAGATCGGGTGTGTGTGTCTTCCTCATATCCATTAATGAAGTGAGCAGCTGCCAGTCAGCCTTATCTCTTTGACTTCGCCTTTTATTTCAAGAGCGTTTAATTAGAATCGTGCTTGACATTGATAATGAAAGTTGCCAAATAAAAAAGAACTGGGCGAAAAAGAGACTCAATTCAATGCCATGTGGATGGCAACAAAAAATCGAGTTCCCTGCGCGAAAGAAATAAAAAAACGCTGAATAAATTCCGAGTTTCTTGTCTGCGCCTCGCATCGATTTGAATGTATTTCGGTTGAAATCTATTTGAAATTCGCCTTTGCTTAATTTCTCGCATATATGTATTTGTGTCTGGTCTTGCGAATCGGAAAACAAGACCAGTTGGGACCTTTTCGAACCAGTTTCTTTGGCTCACAAGATTAATTCTCGATTTCGTCTTGCTACCTAGCAACCTAATCTCGTTTGTTTGGGGCCGCTTTGAGCAAAAACTAAGAATCGATACCGTTTGGAATATTTAATTCGACTTTATAATGAGAGTGCATAATTTCGACATTAAGAAATATATTTCTTTTATCTTTTTTGCCCGCAGAAATAATAATATTTTTAAAAAACTATTTTGTTTGACATCATGATTTTTTGGGAGAAAAATTGACAAAAAAATAAAAAGTCCAGGCTTAAATGTGAATCGATTGGAAATATCATAACGAGATTTTGGAAAATATTGTTTTTCAATTCCAGCCTACTGGGCGTATACGTGATGTGTAGCTCAAGGAAATCATCCCAGTAAGTGGGAATTAAGACTGGTTGGTTTAACCACATTCCGAAAGACTTCTTTGGCTTCACATGTCACTTGTCCGCTTGTCTTTTTGGATCATATCTATATCTATATATCTGCTGACGCACTGCGTCGTCTGTCATGCATGAATGCGTGAGATAATCCACTCAGAGCTCGCGGATTGGTCGAATTTCAGGGCTCGTCCGCTTGTTATTCTCGCAGTAATGATACAAAATACGAATATACAGATGCAGAAAATGGGTACACAGAGAAAAAAATGAATATTTACAAACATTTTCGAAGTTTTCTCATAATTTTTGAAACACAAATAGTATTTAACACTTGGAAATTGTTTTAAAAATGGTATGTAGGTTTAATATTTAATATTTTCCTTTCAAACGGCAACCCAAAATATTATAAATTGCAAAAACTTGATTAACAGATTTAAAACCACTTCGAAGAGCACCAGAAAGTATGCTATAAAAAGAGTAACTCTCTCTTTTTGAAACCACAGATATTTTTAAAGCCCCATCAAAAGATGATATTTATTTTTCCAGTGCCTGGCTATTTGGCATGCTGGTTATATAAGCAAAAATAAAAAAGAGCAACAATTGGAGAGCAACACACGCGCAGACAGACAGCGAAAAGTTTTGTAAAAGAGCCAAAGAGTCGCGTCGGGCAAAGAGCGAGAATATATATTATATATATGCAGGCCTTTGTATAAATTTACGCAACTGGCGAACGAACAGGTGCCACTACCCATACACTCGCCTCTGGAGATCTCTGTGTATTGCATATATCATTCAAATTGGACACTAGTGTCGGACGATCTGGCGGTCTGACAGATTAGTCGGCTGACTTTTTGCCAGCTAGGCAATTTTTCTGTCGCTTCGGGTTTTTTTTTGTGTGGTATAATTCGAGTGCCACGCGCAAGTAAATTTGTTACTCCGTCGAAAAAGGTGGGCGTGTGTATGTAACTCTTTAGCATATGTATGAATGTTTGGATGGCGAGAGATTCGCAATAGGTTCTAGTGATCAACTAGTTGGTTCTTAGCCAAAGCGAAAAGGGGTTCCTCAAAAGTAGGCTACATCTGGAGAAATTCTCATACCATTTTTAATTAAAAATAAAAAATATTTGTATTATTATAATTTCTAGTGATCCATTACTTTTTATTGAATTTCTGGTCAAGTGGAAATCTTGTAGAGCATTATTATTACTTTCTTATGGGCTACGCTGCCCCATATTCCCTTCAAATACCCTAGAAGTGTCGGATGGCGGCAACAAAAGCCGGCCGAAAAGTAAAAAACCTTATAACAGAAGGCACACCTACAAAACGAATCGTATATTTGAGCATAAAAACAAATATACCTATACCTATATAGAAGTATATGATACATTCTTGGTGTTCCCTTTATTTTCGACTTGGAGAGCCACACGTGCCGCTGACTCGCCAATAAAAATCATCCAACATATCATGCGATATCAGTCGGTCGAATGGATCTTACTCCTTTTCGGGGACTTGAACAAAATGGGGGCCTGTCTTTAGCACGCGACTTAGTCACGAGTTGAACCATAAAGAGCGATCGTTAAAAAGATCGTAAAACGTTATGATTGTGGCGGTTTTGTTGCCGCCTCCTTATTTTTTATCTTCCCATTTGATAATATATATTTCATTTCTTTTTTTTTCGTGGTGCCCGGCCCCAACCTTGAAAAAGCGTTAGCAATACTTTCAGAGGGGTATGCGTTAGCGAAAAGAAATGAAATCAATTAGAGAGATAGTCGGGGCAGCTGGTAAACAGCAGAAATTCTGATTCTGTTTTTTCTGTTTCCCCCAATCGAGAGTGCTATTTTTGAATGCCAAAGATCGACAGTGAAAATTCTAAAGGGGCCTGGGACCTTGAGCAGTAAAAAATATGTTCAGAGTTGCGGACAAGAAAGAAAATAAAGAAAGCTCGCGCAAGCAAATAAATCACTTGTCTGCGCCCACGCTTCTTGGACCCCATAAATATAGCCAGTACATATGTATTTCCACCGAAATCTGTTGACCAAAAGCTGAGGGGGAAAATTATTAGGGAATTTTTATCCAGATCAATGGTCTGGATTTTTGGATAGGATATTTAACCTTTTAATAATATCATTTGTAGTATTTTATGGATTAACTTTTTAATATCTTCTAATATTTATTTTAATAAATACATCTTTTTTTGCTATTTAATGATTGCTTGCAGAAACGAATAGTTTTATTTTATAACAAGAAAAAACCTTCTGCTAACCGGAATACAAACATTATCCAGCTTTTTTTGTACTATTTGATCTCACTTAACAAGCCCAAAAAATCGCATTAATAACACATCCAAATTAAACACACTCGAATGATAAAAATAAATAACTGCCTAATAAATGTCGGAATAAATTCGCAGAGAAATGCAAATAAATCAGGAAAATCGGCTGACCAATTACCGCCGTTTGACATCCGTATTCATAATATCCGAAGATGACTTGCGGATCCGTAATCAGAGCGGATGACTAAAGGCCTTATCGCTGTTGTTTTGCCCGTGAATAGTGATTATTTGGGGATGGGTTCGTAGTCAGTATTATCTCCTTGGCGATAAAACGGCATTCATCAACTCGACTAACCGATCACGATCATGTGCTCCTGTATCTGCTCCCCGTATCCGTATCTATATCGTTTTTTTTTTTTTGGGTTCTTTTTCTTATGACAGCAAAAGCTCCGGAAACGAGTATCTTGTGATCGTACGAGGGAGTGGTCGTTGGAGGAGCAGCGCAGGTGATAACTGATAACTGATAACTTATAGAACAGAACAGAACAGAACACCCGAGTCTTCTTTTTTTCGGGGGGCGTGTGCCGGGCCCTGACGTCAATGGATCGATAAGCCCCCTAGAGATACGATCATCCTGACAGAGAAACTTACAAAAATACACTGAAATTGAAACAAGAAATAGAAAAAAATTATATTATTTTTGATATAATGCCTACTTACTTAAACATTCTAAATGAAAAATGAATATTATCATAGTTTTGAACCAATAAAAAGGTTTTTAGATTTTTAAAGGGATTTTGATATTAAATCTTAAGTGTTGCGACAAGAAAATTATACTTAAATTCGTGGTTATTATAAGATTATAATTATAAAGATTTCAAAATAGTTTAATATATTTCTTATGATCAAGAGTGAAATCTTCAAGGCCTTAATATCGAGGCTTGAGTATCGGGCGATCGTTTGGAACTGCGTCGTTGTCTGTGAACCCTGGGAACCCTTTGGTCGAACGGGTATACTTTCTGCTTTGAATTTGTGAATCGAATTGAGTTCCCTGCAAAACGGATCGTGACGCGTGATCGATTTCGTTTTAATTCCAATTGCAATTACCTCGACACAGTTGGGCGCGATTAAAGCGACTGGGGGTTCGAGAACGGAGAACTCTGATTTGACGTCACCGGTGGTCCGCTTGCCCCTGGCCACCAAAAGCTCCTTTGCTTCAGCAAGTGCGTAATTTTTTGTAGTGTACAGTGGGGATAAATACTGCGATGCGCCATATACCAAAAATATTTACGAAATATCTTACGAAGAAATGACCACAACACAAAAAACAAAAGGGGCTCGGATGACGCTGTTGTCAGCCGTCAAGGTAACGAAAACAAATTCTCGCAGAAAGGCATCAAAACAATAACAATAACAGAATGATTGTAACGCCGAACGGCGAAAACAAGTCGACCAAAGCCCGGGAAAAATAAAGGTGACCAACGGGTTAAGGCGACAATATTGCACATACGCCGCTTGGTACGCGATCAATAACGATAAACACAGCTAACTGCAAAATAATAGTTGTATATATAATTTATTATAATAATGTAAATATTTATATTTCTTCATAGCATAATTACCTATAAAAATAGAGTAAAATTTATTATTACATTTTTTAAATAGTTATAAATTTAGTTCAGAATACTTGAATAAGGTAATACCATTTTAAAAGATTTCTCAGTTAGTTTTTAATGGGTTATTAATTTTTTTAATTTTCTAAACATATCATTGAATAGTTTAAAATTACCCTTAAACTTTAGTTCTTCGAAAGCTTGCAAATACTATTATTTTGCACGCAGCTGTTTGTATCTGTGCATCTGTGTTTGTATCTGTATCTGTGACTGTTCGAAAAGTGGGCCCGTTTCAGCGAACGGGCCTCCAAAACGCACACACACTCGAAGAGCGAGATACGGGACACACCCCTACATCTCACAGATACAAAAACCCCCACACACATTTCGACTTTTAAAGCGTCCTTGATCGTGCACAAAAACAATGTAAGAGGCGGTTCAATGACTTTTGCTCTCATTTTACAGGTCAGATAATTATAGTGTAATATGCCGTTGGACAGTGATTTCCATAAGACCCCACCCAAAAACCGAAAACCACTCTTTTTCTCTCAGTGAACGCAAGCTGCCTTGTTTGTTACGTGCTTTTTTTCGCTGGAAATCGTTGTTTTGATTAATTTGTTTTTTCATTTTTACCAGATTCTGCTGCTGTTGTTGACCACTCTCAAAAATGTAATCTTTCCATATCGAGCAATACTTAGGTATGTTTAAATATTTTAAAGAAAATCTTATCAAAAATATAGTTCGATGTTTTCTAGTTATTCAGAATTTCGGTTCAAAGTTTTTATATGCTGTCTATATATTTGTAATAAATTATTATTTTGTTTTAAATTTAAGCATATCAAATGGAAAAAATATCACAATTCATTATTTAAAGAATTCAAAGGTTCCTAGAAAAATGTACAAATTTTTTAACAGATACTTTTGTCTTCTTTTTTTCTTCGGAGACGATAGTATTATATTTTGTGAAATAATATTTTCGACATAATAGTATTAATTATTTTCTTGTATGTAAATTTTACCCTTGACAAAAGCAAAAACAGATCCAGGTCCTTATAAAGAGGTACAACAAGGTTGGCGGCAAAAAAAAGATGAATATCCGGATGACCCAGTGACCAGGGAGCCCGAAAAAATTGAAAAACTGGTCACCGGGTGACCGAGTGAGATGGAGCGACCATCAACCATCGACCATCGACAACTATCTCGCTTCAGATCGTACATTGACATTGAAAGCCACTAATTTATTTGTTTATCAACCAGTTGAGAGCGAGGGAGAGGGAGAAGCATCTAGCATTACAATTATTTCAAGAGAGCCGTGTAATATGCGAATGTATGTACATATCTCTTCCGCCAGATCGTCCCTCTCTTAAGTTACAGCCACATGGCGTGAAAAATCCCACCAAGGAAAACACGATTTTCTCTTATCAGCGAACAGCGACTGATGATCGTGATGTAGCTAATTTAGATATTGCATCAGCCATCAGCCAGGATTACAGAGGGATTTCACCTCTATTTATTGTTTGTGCCTCGCTCAAATCTCAAATCTGTTTTGCACAATCTGTTAAACACACACCACAAATCCAAATCCCAATCCAAATCCGTGGAACGTTATCAGCTGGGAAACTACGAGCAGGAAAACAGGAAAATAAAAAAACGTGCGCGTCATGTTTTCCACATTTCCCACCCAATCTTTTTGCGCGGCGAAACAAAAAAGTACAAGAAGTTGGCCAGGTAGCAGGAAGTGGAGGAGGAAGTGCCCAGTGATATTGATACCATGTGTGCGTCATAAAAAAAAAAACAAATTTTCCAGGTCAAAATATGTTATGAACTCTTTTTTAAGTCGTTTTAAAAATGTTAAATTTTTGGTTGATCCGAAATATTAAATATATTATTATGATAGTCTTAATGGAAATTTTACCTGCATTTTCAAATAAATTTAAGCTTACAACTTTTCTAGGCCTGCAAATAAATCTACAAAATATAATATTTGATTAGATTAAAAATCCTAAAATATTCCTAGATTTAACCAAGTAATATTTCTCAGAGACAAAGATAACTATATACATATATAGATACTTATATAGATATTCCCAAGTACCTAGTTCGTTGTGTACTCACTTTTAATGGAAAAGTACACACGATCGGGCGGCGCAAACAAAGAACTAGAACCAGAAGAGAAGCCATCGAAAAATCCAAAACTCAACTCGAAGCAAATATGTCAAAAAAGCAAAAAAAATTCAACCGAAAATAATTGCCCGAAATTGTCGAGGCAAAAATAAAGCGAACAAAAACCTAAAAAAGAAGGCAGCTAAAAAACGAGAAATGAAAACACGCTGTCGGCTGAAATCGCCGATGGCTGCGCCCAAATAAGTACGCAGCCCATGGGGGGTACATGGGGTACGCCACCGCACCCCCCCCCCCCCAAGATATCCGCCCCCAAAGCCCCCTTCTTTGGGGGGCAGCAACAAGATGTGGAGCCGATCGATCGATCGCAAAAACCCGAAAAGTCTCAGCGAAACATTCGCTAAGGGAGCGAAAAAACATTCGATTTTCGGCATCTTGTGTTTTTGCTACACTGCTAAAAAAGCACTTAACAAAAGATACAACATTATTTTCATAATTGCCTAATACATGTTTTATTTAATTATTACGCAACTTGTAACTCAAAAATGTTCATTTGTAAACGATTTTAGGTACGTCAATAAACTTAAATGAATTGAATGATTTACGCAATCAATAAATTATTTATTTTTAAAATTCAGGAAAATATATTTTATATTATTTGTTTCCTTGTTTTTATTTATATGATATATTTTACTTCGACTATTTAAACAGGTGATGGGCTGTCGCCAGAAGGTCAGTTATTCAATTTCGTTAGTCATTGCACCGCATATTATTTTTAAAAATTAATGAAATAGTTAGTAATTCCTGGCAATCTGTTTTTCCAATCTTAATATATAATTCCCTAGGTATGTATATAAATATAGGTAGAAATATATAATTCTTATCGCAGTGTACTCAGTCTCTCTCCCTCTCTCCCACTCTCTCTCTCTTTCTTCCGCTCTCTTAGCGGCCATTCCTGCGCAATGCTCTTAAAATGGCGCTCGAACGGTAATCGTACGATTCGTACACACTCACATATGTAGAGCCCGCGGATCGGCTATATATATAACTATATCAGCGGCGGCAGCTCATTTCTTGCAGAGACTTCGTGCCGTCAAGATCGAGCTAAAAAATAAAATAAAGAAACAAGCAAAGGGCCAACAGAAAAAGAAAGTAAATCGAAAATCGAAATAAAACAGAACTGAATGCTTTATAATTTTTTTACTGTGCAAAGTGCAGTTCCCTTCTCGTTGAATAAAAACTAAGAAATACAAAATATTTATCGGTTCGCGCAAGTGCGGCAAAAGTGCAAGTGCAAGAGACGCTGAAAGAGCGATTCAAAAACGCAGAGAGTCTAAATAAATCAAAAATATACGAAAAACAAAACGGGAAAGAAAGTTCCAACCTCATAAGTCAACAAGATGACGACCAAAATGGCAATCAACGCTAAGGTTTGTAATCAAGAATCCGAAAAACGCTATCAGTAGCGCCGCCAAGAAATCAAAATTCTAACAAGCTAGCAACAGATTTAAAGCGGAATTTTTCGTATTTTTCAAACCTGTTAAAATATTAGAAAATATCACAAAACATTTCTAAACTTTCAACTTGAATTAAAATTAAGGAAAATAACTGGTTCTTTTATGCTTTATCGTGTAGTTCCAAGTGGTTGCTGCCTTCTCTATAAATAGCAATCCATTTGAATTATAATAAAATATTGTGAGCACGAAATGTTTGAATGCTTTGCCATCCGGTAGATGGACTATCTCCAGACATATATATTTTTTTTTATAGATGGACTATTTTCGAACAACCTGACACGCTCCCAGATCTCCAGACCACTTATGTATAAATAGAACCCATTAATGCCTTTTTTTTGGACATTTATGGCCTGTTGTTATCGCTTCCCATTCCCATTCCCAATCCCCTTCACTCGGAAATCGGCGATAAGCCATATGGACAGGCAGACTTGTAGACGACATATTCGGGTCTTTTGTAGTCCAATTTTCGAACGAGTTTTCGAGCGTGCCTCAAAGAGTTTTAAATCAGCTTTTTTCAGTTGGTTTTGGCTGATGCAATGACGATCGCCGGTGTCAACTTGGCGTTTTTCTTTTGGCCGTCAGCTTTTGGCTTAGTCGATAGTTTGGGCGATTTCATCAGCCATCAGAGATGAAACGGCAAATCAGCTGAAATATATTAAAATTGAAATCCAACAGAATTGTAGATTAAATCTTGTCTCGAAGCAGAGCCGGAATCGAATCTAAACTGCTGACTTCTCGTCTGACCTGGAATTTAGTAGACTTCAGGGGGTTACATCAGTCCAAGCCGCGTAACCAAGATCGTCTGCCTTGCAAATTGACAAATTAATTAATGTGCAAATCATTTTCGGCAGTTCAATGATTTCGATTTTGGGTCTAGACCCAAATTAGCATACTATCAGTGATGGGCAGGGCAGATTTTTGGGGTTTCAGTGAGTTTCATTGCTCGTTTATTGGCAAAAAAAATAAAAAAAATAAATAAATCATTCTATTAGGTTTATTTATTTATTAAACAACTGACAAAGAAAATTATTTTTGGTATTACCTTGGGTAAATTTTTTTAGCTTTCCAAAAGTATAAAAGTACATAAAAAAAAAAATTTGTTTGCAACTTATTTTGTTTTTAAGTACAAATATTAAAAATGCTAAAATATTCCTTAAATAGTTATTAAGCTTGAATATTTTAAATTATTTGTTTGTATTCAATTGTTTTTTAAAATTTGCTGTCTTATAAATCTGAAAATCTTATTTAAATTAAGGTCTTAATTTGACGACTTAAAAACTATTCTTTCTCTTGTCTTAAAATCACTTTTATTGAATTTGGTGCTTACTTACAGGATATTTTCCGCAACCAGCACCGCCTGATCCGCTTCATCGCCCAGTCGATCCGTCTGTGCAGCAACCAATCGCTGAAGGCCGCCCAGGCAGCCCAACTGCAGCAGCAGCAGAAGTCGTCGGCGGACTTCCAGATCACCGCCTCGGTGGACGCCCAGTACACCAGTGCCCCGGAGCCCATAAAGCATGACCAGAATGTGGGCCACCAGTTCCGGGCCTCCCAGCTGGCCGTTCGCCTGGCCGCCCCGGAGCAACTGCAGCCGAAGCCCGACAACGATGAGGAACTGGGCTTCGGACGCCTCTTCACCGACCACATGCTCAAGATCTACTATCACAAGAGCCTGGGCGGCTGGCAGCGACCGGAGATCACGCCGCTGGAGAACCTGGTCATGCACCCGGCCGCCAAGGTCCTGCACTACGCCGTTGAGGTAAGAAGCGTGCCTAACTAAACGCCCCACGTTGGGCGCCAAATAAAAGTAACAACATTGAATACTAGGTATTTTTCAACCCAGCAAATATTTTAATAAGTTTTTTTGTTCAGAGGGTCTTAACAGAATTTACTCACAAACATTATATGACATTCTTCGATACAATAGGGAAAATATAAAAGAATTAAAAATTTAATAAAGTAAAAATCCCAAATTAAAATAGGTACATAATAAAGTTTCACCTTACAACTTTAAATTACACAGGTACACAGCCAAAAATATCCACGAACCATTTCAAGTTTTCCATGATATTTGGGTGCTCCTGAGTAAAAGTCCCATACAAAATTATTTTCCATCACCTACAGGTTCCGCGGTATAGCTAAGAATACAAAAAACCGATGTTTGCCGACATTTTGAATTACGTGGCCTATATAATTGGACCAACCTTTATTATTTTCGGTAGGACCTACTCTCAATACATCAAGGCATTCCTAAAAAATAGTCCCCATTGTGAACCATTGCCCATGTCTTTGGAATTCGACGCCAAAGTTGAAAATCCCAAAATTGTAGAGATTTTTCTGATGGAAAAACAATTCTGAGGATTAAATCTTGAATGGAAGTAATTTTAACTATTAATTGTATCTATTGTTCATTGTATGCTTTAATTTCGGTTTACAGCGTTTTCATGAGAACATTTTATTGGATTTCTTATACTAATAAAACCGATTTTTTTATTTCATTATCTACTCCTAAATGTTGTCAAATTTTGAATAAGTCATGGCAACCTCTAAAACTAAGAAACTAAAATACGTTCACTGAACATACACAGAGAAATGTAAATGTTTACTCCCATTCTGTAGGATGCCTTGACTTTTTTAAAATTTGACAACATTTAGGAGTAGATAATGAAATAAAAAAAACGGTTTTATTAGTATAAGAAATCCAGTAAAATGTTCTCATGAAAACGCTTTAAACCGAAATTAAAGCATACAATGAACAATAGATACAATGAATAGTTAAAATTACTTCCATTCAAGATTTAATCCTCAGAATTGTTTTTCCATCAGAAAAATCTCTACAATTTTGGGATTTTCAACTTTGGCGTCGAATTCCAAAGACATGGGCAATGGTTCACAATGGGGACTATTTTTTAGGAATGCCTTGATGTATTGAGAGTAGGTCCTACCGAAAATAATAAAGGTTGGTCCAATTATATAGGCCACGTAATTCAAAATGTCGGCAAACATCGGTTTTTTGTATTCTTAGCTATACCGCGGAACCTGTAGGTGATGGAAAATAATTTTGTATGGGACTTTTACTCAGGAGCACCCAAACATCATGGAAAACTTGAAATGGTTCGTGGAAATTTCACAAAGTTTAATTTTGTGTTCCTGTGTTATTATTTTATGAATACAATAGGTATTTAATACCTTTATTCTTAAATATTCTGAAAAACTTAACTTATTGGATACTTCTTTAAATACCTTAATCATTACCTATTCTGTAGAACAGCTAGAAGAAACGATTTGTTCTCGAATTCGCGAATATTTACGTGACTTGAGAGCGCTTTGTAATCCCGTCGTCCCCAGTCCGTAATCTCTGTAAACAAGTCGCACGTGTGGCCCGTGCCCCGACGTCATCCGAATGCATTCAGTGTATATAGTATAGAATGAGAATCAGAATCCCAATCCGAATCAGCATTCGAATCAAAATCAGGCTGTTGCCAATGGTGCCATGTTGTCTTATCAGTTCGTTTGATTCGATTTATTGCAGCTCTTTGAGGGCATGAAGGCGTATCGCGGCGTCGACGGCAAGATCCGCATCTTCCGGCCGGACATGAACATGAACCGCATGAACCTGGCCGCCCAGCGATCCGGTCTGCCCACCTTCGAGGGCAAGGAGTTCGTCCAGTGTCTGTCCCGCCTGCTGTCCATCGACTCCGAGTGGGTTCCGCACACGGACACCGCCAGCCTGTACATCCGCCCCACACTGATCGGCATTGATGTGAGTATATCTAACTTGGTTAATCCCTGGGTAGAAGTTAATCTGTATCTCTTACAGCCCACGCTGGGAGTGGCCTCCTCGGACTCGGCCCTGCTCTACACGATCCTCAGCCCGGTGGGCAGCTACTTCAAGACGGGCTCCTCCGGCGCCGTCTCCCTCCTGGCCGATCCCAGCTACGTGCGTGCCTGGCCAGGCGGCGTGGGCAACCGGAAGATGGGCTCCAACTACGCACCCACCATCAATGTCCAGAAGGAGGCGGCGGCCAAGGGACTGCAGCAGGTGCTGTGGCTCTACGGCGAGGATCACCAGCTCACCGAAGTGGGCACCATGAACATCTTCATGTTCTACGTGAACGAGCAAGGCGGTAGGTGTTTTTTATTATTTATATAGGGGAGTCCCAAGGGATGTTGTGAAAAAGGGGTGATAATCTGTTACAAACAGCGTCACAACGAAGAATCGACGTGTGCCCAATGGAAGATAGGCATGTGACCGCTGAATTAAACCGTAAAATCGATAGGGCCATGTAAATTTCAGGTCATACTAAATCCATATCGTTCTACCTGGCCACATATTAAATTAAAATTGATCTTAAATAATGTAGAATCGACCTCCTTTGTATGGGATATTTTTTAATACGTTTTATCAACTTACCTAATGGTTTTCTCCTATCCATTTACAGAACAAGAACTGGTTACGCCGCCGCTGAGTGGCCTGATACTGCCCGGCATCACCCGCGACTCCATTCTGCGCATGACCCGCCAGTGGGGCAAGTTCAAGGTGAGCGAGGCGAACATCACCATGCCCATGGTCTGCGAGCTCCTCAACCAGGGAAGGGTAAGTGATCTTCAAGAGGTAATCTATCCCATCCAGAGGCTAATTTTGCTCTTCCCACCCCAAAAAATAGCTGCTGGAGCTCTTTGGAGCGGGAACGGCGTGCGTGGTCAGTCCGGTGAACAGGATCAACTACCTGGGCCAGGATCTGTACATACCCACCATGGAGCAGGAGAAGCCCATGCACGAGCTGATCCGCGAGACGCTCACCGACATCCAGTACGGTCGGGTGGATCACCCGTGGTCGGTGGTCATTGACTAAGGAATCGAACCCGGTCCAACCTACATCTGTTATCCCTTCCCCGTACCGTGTATTAGTAGGATTTAGTTGCCAAGTGTTTTGTGGGTTGCCAATGTGCTCGAATTTGTTTCTTTTATCGTGCATTTAGCTATGCATTTACCGATATATATAAATCTATATATATATATATAATATAGTAGGTTAAGTCGAGGGCCGTTTCTCTTTTAAGTTGCATTTAAATGTATATTTATTTATTTATGTCAGGAATTCGAATTGTACATAATTCCAACTGGTTCAATGTTATTTATAGTTTCTTAATTTTTTTCATATTTTTAGTTTTGTTTTTTTTTCCCCCCTTATGTACATGAAGCTATGAATCGTCTTTTAGCGCTTTTACTTCCAAGCAGCATCGAAAGCGAGGCAAAATTACCAACTACAAATTTTAGATTAGGAAAGAAAAGAGATCGAGAGGAGGAGAGTTCCGAAGGGAACGAGTTGAAAACGTACCGGAGGCGAAATGCATTTATTAGCGAGTAAGTGGTCGAAATCGAAATCGAAGCGTTCTTGGAGGTAAAAGCGGCACGAGAGCAGTGAGAGCTGTGACTAAAGCTAATCTGAACCTGAACCCGTCAGTAGAACTAGGACTAGGCTGTAGATCCTAACCCGAATCAAGCTGTATACTATACCTGTAATCTAGAAGTTAAGCGAATCATGAGATGAATAAACGATGACAAAATCAAGCAAGTTGTGTAACTTATTTTCACTTATATATCTGACTAATTAACAAATATTAAAATGTTCAAATAAGTCGCTTTGTATTCATTGACAAATTTAAATTCAAATTTAAATATCTTTGGCGCAGCCGAGACACCCTCCTGACTTAGCGAATACACACTCCTCACCAGAGCGACACCTTTCCACAAAAGAAGTACTATCGCCACCTGGCGGAGAGTGGAAGTAAAAGTGACACTAGGTGGCGCCAATAATAGATATTTATCGATACAGCAATCGATAGCTTCCGGTGTGACCGACTCGGAGCACTAGAAAAACCCTGCCAATCATCGGTACTATGAGTTGTTATTGAAGGCATTTCGCCGTCTGGTCCTACAGTCGCGCAGTTTGGTTTTGAGAGTCGTTTTTTTTTTGTGTTTTTGGTTGTTCGCTTGCTCCGCGGTTTCCAGGTGCTCCGCTTTTTATGGCCCGCTCTTAATCTTATCGCAAATCAAACCGCGGGCAATGAGAATTGTAATTGCATTTTTTGGCTAACGGTAACGGTTTCGCACAGTGGGCTTAAACGGCGATTGACATTGAATCGAATCCGTTTAACCAAAATCCGAATTTCGAGTTCTTGGGGTGAATAAACAACAAAAAAAAAAGAAGAAAAATGCCCGTGAAGACGGTGAATCGTCAGCAGAGCCAAACGCCCGCCCAACAACTGCAAATGCAGCAGCAGCGGGACGTGGAAAATGGCCTTTATCCCACGATTCCGCCCGAGCGCCGCTCGCCCCCCTCCCGCCCGCAGACGCTGCGACAGGACACCATCGATATGGAGGAAATACCGCTCAATCAGACCAGCGCCCAGGAGCCCGAGGATCGTCGCAAAATGCACGAGATCTTCGACAAGGTGAGTTGGGAATTTCAATTCTATCCATAGAACTCTTGGAATTTCATCAAAAACTGAAATTATTGGTTAATCCCAGGATTTAAGATGGTTAATCCAAAGTAACGAGCACCCATGTAAGGGTTAAGAACTAGAACCTGTTAGATTTCACCAATTAATACCTAATATTCAAGTGATAATCAAAGAACTATTACCTTTGGTAGGGTTATTACCAATCTTAAGGTTAAGATAATCAATATCAACAGAATTCTAAAATAGAAGAACTCTGTGAAATGGTTAATTTTCATGGGAAATTAGTGAAAAACAGAGAAGCGCAATTAAACAAAAAACTCAGCCGGCACTTACATTCACTTACACACTTTAATTCGCTCCCGCACATGTGCATGTGAATGGAGTTGCTTGTTTTTAGCTATTGCCTTATAGCCGTCTTCTTCTCGCCCTTGGTGAAAGTTGAGTTTGATGAATCATCCGAGCATCGATCCGCTAGTGCGGCGCTCTTCGCACTTCCCTAAAAACCCCACCGTTAACCCATCAATGGGCATGGAGCGAAAAAAGAGACAAGCGAAAATTACTTGTTATAAATATTTTTTAAAAAATCTCGTTTTCCCATAAAGCCAATTATTCTTTGGGCGAAAATGAAAACGCTTTATACTTAGTCATGCAAATATATCATTAAATTCCAAAACGTGATATTCATGTTCATGAGAACTTTCTCATGAATGCCTCAATCTGATGGCAAATTTGAAACATTTCTTTTCTGGAACCAACAATGCATCATTTAAAACTAAATTTTGTTTTATAATAAAAATACTCGGGATATTCTTTTTTTTTTATCAAGTTTCTAATTTAAGTAATTACTTAAACATTTTCTTAGCAGATAAGCAAACTCCGACATATTTTAAAACACTTTTTTCGGGGGATTAAACCATCAAGAACCCGCCTATCACTCAATTTAGCACCTTCCGAAGAGCTTTTTTGCTGCATTTTGTTTTCTTAACATTGAAAAACCTGTGGGAAATACGGGGCCTGAAGGGGAGTGAGTTTTCTTATCGTGACAGAGGGGCGGCGAATAAAAAAAAAGAAGAAAAAAAACCGGTTATAAATTATTGTTTGCTCGCTTTGAGTTCTGTCTTCGTTGTTTTTGTTCTTGTTGTTGTTGCCTTATTCTTTGCTGGCGTTAGTCACTTAACCCCCAACTGGCCCACCGCCCCCCCGTTGACACCCAGCACCCACCTGTTTGCATTTGTTTTTGTTGCTCTCGTTTGGGGTTCCATTATCAATTCGCATTTGTGGATTTCTGTTTCTGATTTCTGGCACTGCGAAAGCCTCAATGTACTCACTCCTCTTGATTCACCTCAACTCTTTATAATATATAATAAACGGGGGGAAGATCCTACGATTTCATCAGTCTCTTCCAGTTTTTTGGCTTAATTTAGGCATTTAATTAGCATAACACGATGAGCTGCCCGCTCTGAATCCGAACCAATCCCATTTATCCCCCTGGAAATCGAAATTCCAGACACATTCCTCTCCTATTCACCGGCAATCTTATCTGGCTTCTGTCGCCACCAAACATTCAAGTGGCCGAGAGAGGGCCAACTACTCTGTTTGGGGTTTCTCAGCTTTTATTCAATAATCTAGCCATGATATAACCAAAATAAAATACATAACAAATACTAGCCCAACGGTAGTTTGCTTTTGCAGTTAACCTAAACTTAACTTGAACTTTTTCAATTAAGATTTATTTAAAATTCCAAAAAAAACAAGTAATAAATTTAGACCAATAATAGATTTCATTAGAGTTATTTACAATATGAGATAGTGGACAAGTTTTGTGAGATATAAAAGCAAAGTGGACTAAGGAAAGTACGAGTTAGAGAACTGGGAGGGTATCATTTTGATATTTCTGAAATATCATGTTGATATGTCACAGATAAGAGCCTTTCTGATATGAGAAAATACCAGCTTGATGACCATATTAGTTGATATTATTTTCGGGAAAGCTGTACATTATGTATTCTACTGTTTCTGTTTCCGTTCCTCAACTCAGGGTGTTCCAAACGGATTTCCTAGATAAAATAAAACTGACTGCCGGCTATGACTAAGACAAATCCCCTCGAGACCCCATAGCCACTGCCCGCTTATCGCTTGAGTGTCCAACTTTTTGTAGCTTTTTTCAGAACATTTCTAACGTGTAATACATTAGCCCATGTCTGGGGATGGGATGGGCCACCTATCTAATTGTCTATACTATATTCTTTTTCTCTTTTCGTGGAGCTAATTTTTAAGTGCGAACATTGACATTTCGCTTGGTTCTGGTTTTGTTTTCCCAGTTTCTATGATTAGTCGCGTTGATTGTCGGCGGCTTTGTGTTTATTTACCCAACTAACTAAAAACTGTGAAAATAGCTACCGATGGTCTGTTTCCCTAGGTATTCCGATTACATTCGCGAAACCCGTTTATTTAGACTGGATAAATGTATAAAGCTTGCGATTGTTTCTACGAAAAATATGCTATAATGGGTACTCCAAATGTCGGATTACTTTCTTATAAATGTAATAATGAAGTAACTTATTTATCCTCTATATTGCATGATATTGCAATCGACTTTAGAATAATGGAAGTTGACGCTATTTTATTTTAGGGGTTTCCCCTTTTTAATGAACAAATTTTGGGGCTTTTTATGAATCACAAAAATATAAAAAAATATTTTTAATTAAAAAATGTCGGACTTTTGTGAAGATTTTTTATGAATCTGTTTATAAATCTCAAAAATATAAAAATAATTCATTTATTAAATTTAATTTCCTTATTTTTAACCTACCTTTTAAGTGATCGGCTAAGAAATTTCTTGACTATAATTGAAAGGTCAGTGCAGAGCTTATCTATGACAAATGCTTTTTATGGCTTAGAAGTCGAGCGAGAGCGATAGGAAAAGAACCACCATATAAGGGCTTTCGATAAGAAGCCAAGTTCAAAAATACAAAATAAATATATAAATTTGAAGAATTAACGATTTGAAGTGCCTTGTATTTTGGTGACAATTGTGCAACGCCAAGTGACTTTCGATTTGTTTTCGATTAGCCTCGTTTTTGGATTTCTAGTTTCTCATTCCTGGCCATTTATGGACACCTTTTGGCCCCAAACAGTCGTAGTCATGTTGCAATTGTCTCGAAATCAATCAAGAAACTCGCTTATTTATTGGGATTTTATTTTTTCTGAATCTCACAATATGATTTGGATTTGCCTGGTTATTCTGGCTATTCGGATTCGGAGGGCAGATCGAAATAGGTGGACTTTTGGCGCTTTGGCATGAGACAGATGGCAGCCACCGGCTGCTCCACCTGCTCCTCCTCCGCCTCCTCCTTCTCCTCCCCTTCATCATCGAGGACATCCTGCCAAGTGGGAAGCTCCTGCCACTCGGCCGCCATCACAAGCTCCTGTTCCTTCTGCCGGAGCAGGCGCATCCGCAATCGCTGCTGCTGCAAAAAGACGGAAGGACGCCTGGGCGCAGCCACCTCGCAGATCAGCGAGGTCAGGTTGACCAGCCAAGTTAGGGGCAGGGATGAATAACTACTTTCCCTGCCCTGCCGCTCCAACCGCTGCACCTGCCGTCGCTCCCGCTTGTCCCGCGGAAAGAGATTGAGGGCCGCAAAGAAGCCAGCCATGCCCAGGTAGAGAATCAGGACGGTGACAAAGCCGGACGACTCCTGGATGGGGTCCTCCTCCTCCGCCGCCGGCAGGCCATCGCACGAAGATGCCGGTGTCCAGCCCAACCAGCTGGTCACGTGGCGGGTCATCTGCATCACTTGCGACATCCTTGATGGGTTAAATCTTAGGGGAAATTCAAAAATAATACTTGAATAAAACATGCATTTTATTGGAAAATTTTATGTACATATTTATGTACAAAAAAACTAGTCTAAAAATCATTTATATTAAGTTTTTGCTATTTAATTTCTATTAAATCCCAAAAATACCAATCTAATATATGTATTAACAAAGTATAATCAATTGGTGTGCCAAAAGGTGTGCTTATTTTTTAAGAACTCTTTTAAGAACCCAAATTTGATCAAATCAATCTCAATGACTTTCTAGAGAAATCTCTCGCATGTTTACTAAGGTAAACAAAATGTAACTTCAATTTAATCTGAATTCTGTAAAGGTTTTATATATCATTTTTAAGAAATCGTTATAAGGGGTTTCTATGGAAAATTACTTTTGATATTTGTATATCATAGTTTATTTTCGACAAACATTTTGGTTAAGACTATGTATACTTTTTTTAAGTTTAATATGCGGAAAGTATTAGGGTTTAAATGTAATGTTTTTATACATTTTTTCTGTATGATTAGTGGGAATATTTACTTGTATACAGTTCCCGGTTGTCTGTGGTTCCCAATTCCTAGCAAAAATTCTTCTTGTTCCTGCTAACTGCCTAGTAAATCCTGGCTATCCTGTGGTGCGAATGTTGCTGTTGATATTTACCAAATTCTTTTGGATGGCTGGGTATTGCTACATGGGCTACGGTTACGGTGCTTTATGTTTTTGTGTTCGTGCGGGCTTGTCCGCCCAGTCGGAATTAATGCTAGGAACTGAGTGAGAACTCTTTTTTTTTAAACCCAGCCTGACACTATTATTCCAAGCCTATTGCGATTGTATATTTTTGAGTTAGGAACTGTAATTTACAGAAAAAGAAACCATATGGAATGATGATCAATGGGATAATTTTTCTGATAATACAGTATTTAAATTCAAAATTATTTTTAGTTCTTTATATAATAATTGTTACAACCTAAATATATATTTTTTTAAAGCCTCTTGGAATCCAGAATACTAATCTATATATTCCTTCTCCACAGCACGACTCCGACAGGGATGGACTGATCAGCACGCACGAGCTGAAGGAGCTGATCTCGGATGGCTACTGCCGGGACATTCCCGCCTACATCGCCGAGCAGATCCTGAAGCGCAGCGATCAGGACAACGACGGGCACCTGGACTTCGAGGAGTTCTACGCGATGTCGCTGCGCCACAAGTGGATGGTGCGCAACATGCTGACCCGCTACTGCCGCTACGTGGTGCCGCCTCCGAAGCCCTTGGAGGGCGACGAACCGGACGGCGCCTACGAGAAGCAGATGTCCATCTGCCCGCCGCCGCTCACCATGGTCCTCTTCTCGATCATCGAGATCATCATGTTCCTGGTGGACGTCATTCACTTTCAGTGAGTATTTGTTGGTCATTTATTATGGGAATTTCTGTAATTTGACTGTAAACTTCTCAAGTTTCAAATCAATCATAAAATCACGAATTTATTTTATCGTTTTTATTTTCATTCTTAAAAAATATGGTCGTATGAGCTAGAAAATTTTTTTTAAATAGATCTACAATTTTTAAGATATCTATAATAATATCTAATATCTACAGATATTTTTTAAAATCTATTTGCTACCCTAGAAAGTGGTTTAGAATTTTGATAATTTCATATATAATATTTCCCACATCCACATTTCAGGGACGATCCCAACTACCAGGATCGCATTGGCGAGAGCACCAGCGGACCGGCGGCCACGCTGTTCATCTACAATCCCTACAAGCGCTACGAGGGATGGCGCTTCGTGAGCTACATGTTCGTCCACGTGGGCATCATGCATCTGATGATGAATCTGATCATCCAGATCTTCCTGGGCATCGCCCTGGAGCTGGTGCATCACTGGTGGCGCGTGGGTCTGGTCTACTTGGCTGGTGTCTTGGCCGGATCCATGGGCACCTCGCTCACCAGTCCCCGCATCTTTCTGGCGGGTGCTTCGGGTGGTGTCTATGCACTAATCACGGCGCACATTGCTACGATTATTATGGTAAGAAAAGTGATGTGTAAAGGGATAAATGCAAAAACCTTTTCGCAAATAATTGGTTTTTTGACCGAAACAATGAAAATATTGATCACAATATGGATTGTCATACCTTGTTGAACTCGTTTTTAAATTCCCAATCGATCTGCATTTAAACCTGGAAATTTTTAATTTTTTCCATTTTTCGCAAAAAATTATGATGGTACCCCTTGTCTAAAAAGTGAAAATTGGGTCAAAAATTTATTTTTTTTAAACCAGTCGGAAAGTGCACTGATATTAATTATAGGGTTGTTAGCTGCTCAAAACAGTGCTCCTTTTTGATTTGGGACAATTTTTGTCCAAGTTACAGCAAAAAATGTATTAAAAAAAATCAAATTTTTATCAAAAATCAAGATTTTGATTTTCCACTGCGAGTCCCATAAATATATATGTTTTATCTAATCCTAATCTATGTTCCTTTCCGCCCACAGAACTACTCGGAGATGGAGTACGCCATCGTTCAGCTGCTGGCCTTCCTGGTTTTCTGCTTCACCGATTTGGGCACCTCGGTCTACCGCCACCTGACCGACCAGCACGACCAGATTGGCTATGTGGCGCACTTGTCCGGCGCCGTCGCCGGATTGCTGGTGGGGATCGGGGTGCTGCGCAACCTGGAGGTGCGGCGCTGGGAGCGCATCCTCTGGTGGGTGGCCGTCATCGTTTATTTCGCTTTGATGACCACCGGGATCATCATCCATGTGTTTGTGCCCGACTACTTCCCGAAACAGGAGTACAACTAGCCCTAGAACTTAGCCGTAGCCCTAGCCCTAGCCTAGACCATGTCCAAAGTGCACTTCGATGTTGAGCAAAGGCTGCAGTACGCACAGTGCTATCTATAGGATACCAATGCCGACCATGTGCCTATGCGCGAGATGGAAACGTAATTTATTATCTTACTCCTTGCCATGGCAGCTTCATCCCATCCGTACGTATGGTGTACGTATTTTTATATCTAAATATTTATACAAGTATTCTCGATCTACATGACGCAACGAAATGTCCGGGGTGGTTTCCCATTTCAAAACCCACAGAGAACAAAACTCAGCTGCATTTCGTGATTTTTTTTTTAACAAAGCCAGAATCAATCAAGAATAATGAGAAATATTTTTAAACAAAGTGTACTGTATATTTTTTTGAGATTTATTATTAAGATCTTTATATTTAAATGCAATAAAAACAATGTCTTTGTATGGAGAAAGTGAAGGGTGTTTCCCTTATGGATTTTATTTTTAAATGAGTGCCGAAATGTACATAATGTGCGACATTTTACGACTACAACTTAATCAATAGTTCGATCTGAGCTTCGTATTGAAGGCAAACAGGACCTTTATGTACATATAGACTTGAGCTATTTCTAACTTATGAACTAAAGAATACCGCTGAATTTGAAATTCAACATTTCCCAATCATTTGGTTCTCTATCAATTTAGTCAAGTAAGTTTTCCCACACTAGGAGATCTGCCGTTTTATTAGGTTCAACTCCTATTACAAATTGGTTTGATTACAAGATGTTTAAGATGTAATAAATGGTAAGTACCCGAAGGTCGAACAAAAACACAGCGTTGCTGTTGATTCTACTTCCAATGCGAAGGTGAGACAATGGGACGTTTTAAACGCCGTTAAACGAAAGATGATTTCAAAAACAAAAATAATGTGCGATTCCTGGGAATGCTCTTTTTAAGATGACGCAATAACATTTCCTTGTTCGTTCTTCGTTTCCGCTGGAATTTAGTTGTGGTTTTTTTGTGATGGTTCTCAAAGTGTCAGTCTTGGCATCTCTGGTACTGGGAGGAGGAGGGGGGTTACTTATATCTATATCTTATGGCACCTAGGCTAGAAGTTCTCCTCGCTGCTCTCCTCCGGACGGGGCAGGAACTTGATGCTGGTCGTCTCGCACATCGCCACCTTGGCCACCGTGAGCCAGGCCTGCGGCATCATGTGGTGCAGGATCGCCTTCAAGCGCTCCACGGGCAGAAAGGCCACGCACTGGCTGTGCTCCGTCTCCTGGCAATTATCGTCGCCGGAGCAGTGATTTAGGTGGTCGTTCTCCGGAATTCCCGGCACTGGACGCTGCACTGGGATCACGTCCTTGCCCTTTCCCTTGTACAGCGCCCCGGTGGCACTGAGCAGCTGGGTAACCAAACCGAGACGGAACACCAGCAACTGCTCGGCATTGTCGCTGATCGCCTGCATAACGGCATTGGTCATATTGGCCGTGTTATGCATACACTTGGGGGTCAGCAGCAGATCCGTAACACTGGGGCAGTCGGCCAGCAAGGCGCTGAATCCGCCGTCCACATCCACATTCACCAGCTCCAGGCGTTTGACTCCCCCGGCCTTCGATAGACCAAGCATAATCTCGTCCACCGGGAACATGGCCATGCCCTTGTGATCGTTCTCCAGGCGGAAGGAGCGCAGCAGCTTCAGAGCGGGCAGCACTTGCGTGCCAAACTGCGAAGAGTTTAGGTCCTGGCACGAGCCCAACGATAGCACCTCCAGGCCGGCGAGATCCTTCAAGAACAGCAAGTTCAGCTTGCCCAAATCGGACACTCCACGCAGACTCAACTCAGTCAGATGCGTAAGTTTGGCCAGTGAGTCCAGCGATACCAAGGTCGATTTCGGCTCGGTCATGTGGATGCGAAGCACGCGCAGTTCTGCGGACTGCTCCAGGTGGCACAGATTCAGTGTAGCACTCGTGCAGGTGGCCCTCAGCTCCAGCAGCTGCGGCAGATGGCGAAAGACCAGCTGCAGGAACTCTCCATCCACCGCATCGGTGCGTAGAACGCGCAGCGCCTTGAGGACGCGCAAATCGCCGGCGAAACGAAGCTGCGGCTTGGCCATGATCACGCCCATCATGTCCAGCTCGCGAGTGCGGTGGCGGGCCAGTTCGCGCATACAGAATAGCCAGTTGCCTACATAAGTGTCGCGCAGGCTCACCGAGCGCCACACGCTCATCTCGCGGCTGACCATGGCCCAGGTTTTGCACACCCGCGACATGTTGGCGCGGTCCTGGAGGGGATTAGAGCATTAGAAAATATTAATCCGCATATAGAGCCAGAGTTTCATCAACTACCTTCAGGTTCATCGTCTTCATGATGGCCATCAGCACCTGGCATCCGTTGTGGGCATTGCCCAGGCTCTCCACCAGTTCGTTATCCGAATTCTTGACCTGGCTGCGCTTGCTGTAGATTTTCTCATAGCCAGTTAAATCAGGCTGTCGTGGAACCCTATCGAAATGACAAAATTAACCATTAGCTGGGGATTTCATGGACTCTATTTTTGGTTTCAGAACTGAACCGACTCACACTTTCACTTGGCGACGCGGCGGATCGGCCTTAATGGCTATAGCCTTGCGTCCGCCAATCACAACCACCTCCTGATCCTTGGGCGAGCGCCGGTGTCCCAAATTGTTGAACAGCTCGGCCGGCGGCTGTTGGCCGGGCACCTCAATCTCCTCGCCAATCTCCAACAGGCTGCCAACGCTCTCGGTCTCATCGCCATCGTCATTCTGCTCCTCATCCTGATCCTCATTTTCCGGCTGAGGCTCTGCCGTCATCTCGGATTCCCTCTCTTTCTTGCGCTTGATCTTCGAGCAGTTCTGTGGGGAGTTGTGGGATTGAGTTCAGTTACATTTACGGGATTCTGGGAAACTAGAGGCTCACCTGACAAATGTTGGTCTTGGGAGAGCCCTGCAAAGGAGCCTGGCAATGAATACAGGCCACAATCTTCTCGCTGGTCAGCCGCGACGACTGTCTGGACATGAAGCTAGGAGGGATAAAGATTAAAAGTTGATTCGCAATCAAAGATTCGCCACCTACCTTCGCTTGCGAGTGGACGTGGTCACAATTGTGGCTCCGGTCGAGCTGCTGCTCCCGTTGCTGGAGGCCAGCACTCGGGAATTCCCCTTCACCGCCATGGTGGCCGTCCATCCCTCGCTCGGTGGACTGGCGCCCTTGGGCACCTTGGGCTTGGACACACGCTTCCCGGTGACCGGCAAGGGAGCCGGCTGAGCCACCGCCTGCTGGGACTTCCTACGCTGCACGCTGGAGGGCGTGGCCCGACGCACCAACTCGAACTCCGGCCCCGCCTCCTGCGCCTGCCGCTGGAAGCAAAAGTGCTCGATGGTCAGCTCGCCCTTCAGCATGGGCACAATATCCTCGCGCGAACGCAACTTGCGTCCGTTGGGCGCAATGAAGAAAACATCGCCGGTGCGACGCTTGGGATTACCAGTGCTGGGCAGGACGAGCTCACGCTTCCAGCCGTAGGCGAAGGGCAGGCGATAGAACTCGTCGGTGGCCTTTAGTTTCAGGGCCGAGGGTGTGGGAGGTGCTTCCGCAGCGGCGGCCTCCGGTTTAGGATCAGGCGACTCCTTACTGCCCACGACGGGGGCCAGTTCCTCCTCCAGCTTGGCTGGAGGCTCCTGGCTGCTGAAGCGCGAAGTGCGACGCATCAGCTCAACCGACTGCAAGGTCTGGCTACAGAAGGACTTGAAACGCTTGGCAAAGCGACTGGACACGGGCAGGGGTATGTCCTCAGTTTTTTCGGCACTCTCGTCTAGCGAAACATCCATAGCTTCGTCGGGAGTTGTCTTCTTGGTATTCTCCTTCTTGGCGGGACTGAATGCGCGTTTGCGGGAACGAGGAGTCGACGGCGGCGACGATGACTTTAATACCGGGGGAACACTTGAGCTGTTCTCATCCTCGGTCACCACCAACGATTCAATTTGCTCCTCCTGCTCCGGATTCTCTGCCGGCTGCTGCTGCTGCTTATCCTGATCATCCTGCTTTTCCTCTGCCTTCGCTGGCTGCTCCTTCTCCATTTCCTTCTCCTGAAAGCAGTAGAGAAGGTCAATGGTTAGTTGGTTTTAGATTTTCCCGACTCTAAGCATAAGATTTTTGTTGGGGTCTCCACCTGATTGTCTAATTCTGTTTGTTGCATGTTGGTTGCTGTTGCTGTTGCTGTTGTTCTTGGACTTGCAGTACCAGTTGCGTTTACATTGTTGTAGCTGTTGCTAGTTGTCGGTGTTGTTGGTGTGGTTGTAGTTAGATTTGTACTAGTTGCAGTTGCTAAAGTGATAGGTTGTTCTGGTTCTTGTTGTTCTGGTTCTGGTCCACGTCCCGGTGGCGTAGATGTCGTCATATTCAAGTCAGAGTTGGAGGACAGCGAGGACTCGACCGGCGACGTCATCATCGGCGATGGAGGCGTTGCTAGCGACTGCTGCTGCTGCTGCTGCTCTTGTTGCTGCTGCTCCTCAGTAATTTCTGTTTCAGTTTCAGTTACAGCCACTTCAGACGACTCTGATGGCCCTGCTGCTGTCTCCGCCTGCGGTTCGACCCTCGGAAACACACTCAGACCTCTTCTGCCCAGCGCCCGCAGCTCGCCCGGCGACTATTCGATTGGTGGAGATTCGAGATGGACGCAGGCACGGTTACGGGTTGGAACATACAATAATACAGAACAAACAAAATGCTGTCTGCATTCTACAGAACACACAAATAGGAAACGGGCATAGCCCTCTGTATACCAGTAACTCAAATTATGGGAAATAAAGCAACCAATGGCCAAAAGTTGTAAAAAGTAAGTACAAAATATTATATTAAATATATTTAGGATTTAAAAATATTTAATTTTTAAATGGTTCCTTTTAAATTTTTAGAAAAATCAAATTATAACCATATTACAAAGTATTTTGGTAATAAATTACTTGCAAAAAATTAAATTAAATAAATAAAGCAACCAATGCCCAAAAGATGTAAAAAGTAAGTACAAAATATTATATTAAATATATTTAGGATCTAAAAATCCTTTTCGATATTTAGAAAAACAACAAAAATTCTTGGAAAAATTTAAAATAAATTTAAGATTTAGGTAAAAAGTATTAAAAAGCAGATTTACTAGCCCATAACTGGATGAAACATGAGTATACAGAGGGTTATTCCAGACAGCAGCAGGACCGCTCCCTTCCTGCCTACCTCCGCCATCCCCGCTACTCACCTGCGGCTCCAAATCCGAGCTACTATCAATGCTGGCCATGGCCGTCAGCTTGGGGAATCCCCCTGTCCAGCCCATGAGAGCCGAATCTCCGGATAGGCGGCGCTCACGACGACTGTGGCTCTTCTTCTTTTTCTTCTTGGACTTGCGAGAGGTTCCTAAATGTTAGAATAGCAATAATCAGGTTAGTTTCTCTGGAGATAGGCATCCTAGTCACTCACCATTTGTGGAACCTCCGTTAAGCTGATCGGACTCGTTGGAGTCATCGTGATTATGGCCATTCATCTGCGGCGATGAAGAGCTAGAGGTCGACTCGCTGGCCGACACATCCATGGCAATGGCATTGGACACCAGCAGGCGATCGCGCATGTTGGTTGGACCCACGCCGGGACTCTGGCCACCCACGGGACTACGACCGCCGGCAGGGCTTCGGTTGCCGGCGGGACTGCGTCCGGCGCTGGGAGATCTGCCGGATGGCGAGCCATGTGCCCCATTGCTGGTCGTCTGGGGCGGCGAGGGCATTGACTTGGAGTCGCTGCTGGAGGTCCGTGGAGAGCGCTTCGTGGCGCGCGGCTTTGATGTTCCGGGAATGTCGTCGGGCGAGCTCATGTTGCTCTGGAAGGGATTTGGACAAAATGCAAATGTTATTTATCGTTTAAAAAGCTTGATATCAAGTGATAAGTTTGTAAGTAGTAGTTAGTAAGTACCAAAAAAGTTTTAAAATTTTTTTTTAAGTTGCAATGAAAAGTAGGTTTTGTTGGATTTTTTGAAATTTCTAAGTAAAAAAAAGTGACACAAAAATCAAATATTATGATTATTTTTGGTACCTGATTAAAAGCGTAAGTTTTTAATAAAAAAAACTTTTATTTGTTAGTTATTTGTTATACAAATTTGTTATTTGTTATAAAATTACTTCTGTCGTTTTCCTTTTCCACTTGTTAAAATTTTTGTTTTATTTCCGATTAATTATTAGGTGAAGTTTGAATACGGTATTATTAAAACCTGTAGTTCTTCGCAAGCAATGAACACTGTACTTTCTGTCAGCAGAGCTTTATGCGTTTGTGTGCGTGCGACAGCCTCAACAAATTTTTGACAAGAGCTTGCAGGTACATATACATATGTATGTATGTATGTATATTTCTACGTACACGCCGCGGTTTGTTTTTGTTCGGTTTCTTCTTTGATCGCCACCCTCCCCTTGCGTTTCAGGCAAATATTTAACCAACGAAAACACAACACACACTCACAGGCGCAATTTCTTGCGCTTTTTCTCTCCCGTTGCCAATCGGAAATTGCACAAATTACACAAATTCGCCTTTCAATTGCAATTATCAAGCCCTTTTCCACTTTGTCGGTGTCTTTATCGCCCTTTGGCTTTTGGAGCTTCTTCGGCGCATCGCAAACTTGCGATGTGTGTGGATGTCGCGGGTCTGTGTGCGTGAGTGACGCCAATTTACGCGGCCCCAAAGTTGCACTTTCCCGGCTTAGAATCGACGAACTCCAATAGTTGGGGAAATTAACCAGCTTACCTTTTTAGCACGAAATTACTTTTCACCAGAAAAATTCACTTATCAATCCAATTTCCCTCGAAAAAGTGAGAAGTACTCTCTCAAATGACATTCGGTAAATCGGCCGGAAAGAGTTGCCACCTGGTTGTCGGCAGCGTTGCCATCCGATATAAACAAGCCGATTGTTGGGAGTTCAGGCGGTGATTATTCGATATTATGGAAACCATTGGCGGTGAAATCCCAAAGTTTTAAAATTAAGGACTTTCAGTATAAAAAGTTGAATTTTTTATAAATATGTTTTTGTATTGATCCTTTGCCTTACTGATCAAACAAATGCCTCGATTAGATTTCAGTGAAATTAGTGAACGATAGTTGTCATAGAAGTTCCAGCTATCGATAGCCCGGAAACATCGCGTGCTTTCAATCATCCCTGGCGACACAACTGGTTGTACGTATGTATGTAGACGTATGTGCCCTACATACCTACATATATAACATTGCCAGCTCTGCACGTGAAATTCCGAAGGCGGCGAAAGTAATCTGTGATCAAATCAAGTGAGTTATGGGCCTATATGTGCGATCCCTAAGCTAAAAGAACATCTTAATCCACAGAAATGTCCAAGGCCAAGGGTAAGAAGAAGGAGCGCTTCGACGACGACGAGGAGCAGCCGGAGAAAGTGCAGGAGAAGAAGCCGCCGACGAGCAAGAAGGGCGGTGGGAAGAAGGGCAGGCGCGGAGGGGGCGGCGACTCCAGTGACGAGGATGTGGCGCCCAAGAGTCGCGACAACGAGGATCTGGAGAGCATAGCCTCCTCGAACCAAAGCAAACAGCAGCAGCAGGCGGGCAAGAAGCAGGCGAAGAAGGGGAAGAAGGGCAGGAGAAACGACGACTGGAGCGAAGAGGAAGAGAAGCCAGCGAAGGAAGACAAGGAAGAGGAGGAGGAGGAGGAGGAGAAACCAGCAGTTAAAAAGCCACCGAAGAAAAACAAGAAGAACAAAAAGAAGAACGACGACTTCTCCGACGAAGAGGAAGCCAATCTGGATTTGGAGGAGCCGGAGGAGGATGAGGATGAGGTAGAGGTGGTGCCCGCCAAGCCCGCCTCCAAGAAGTCCAAGAAGAAGCAGCAGAAGAACAAGTTTGCCATGAGCGAGGATGAGGAAGAGGAGGAACTGGAAGATGAGATCCTGGAGGATGAGCCGCTGCCCACCAAGCCGGCGGCTAAGAAGTCCCAGAAGAAGCAGCAGAAGCAGAAGATCCCATCCAGCGAGGACGAAGAGGAGCCAGAGGATGAGCAGCCGGAAAAGGAAGTGGAGGAGCAGAAAATAGAGCAAGTGCTCAGCGAGAAGGTGGCGGCAGTGAGTCTCAAGGAAAAGACACCTGAACCGGAACCAGAAACCCAACCAGAACCCGAGGAGGAACCCAAGTCCGAGGACAGCAAGGAGGCCAAGGACAAGAAGCTCACCCACAAGGAGAAGAAGAAGCAAAAGAAGCAGCTGGAGTACGAGCGCCAAATGGAGCTGATGACCAAGAAGGGCGGCGCCGGTCACTCGGATTTGGACAACAACTTCACCATGTCGCAGGTGCAGAAGAGCGCCGGCCAACAGGCGGCACTGGAGCATGCGGTGGACATCAAAATTGAGAATTTCACCATCTCAGCGAAGGGTGAGTCACTCTCCTTCTATTCTATCCATATATTTAATTACTATTAATTACAGGCAACGATCTGTTTGTGAACGCCAACCTGCTGATTGCCCATGGACGCCGCTATGGCTTGGTGGGTCCCAATGGACACGGAAAGACGACCTTGCTCCGGCACATTGCCACCCGTGCCTTCGCCATACCGCCCAACATCGATGTGCTGCTCTGCGAACAGGAGGTGGTGGCCACCGACAAGACGGCCATCGATACGATTCTGGATGCGGATGTGCGGCGCACGGAGATGCTCAAGAAGGCGGATGATTTGGAGAAGCTGTTCGCTGCCGGCGATTTGAGTGTCCAGGAGGAGCTGAACGATGCGTTCACGGAGCTCAAGGCCATTGGAGCCTATTCCGCGGAAGCCAGAGCAAGGAGAATCCTTGCTGGTCTCGGTTTCAGCAAGGAAATGCAGGACAGACCCACCAACAAGTTCTCCGGCGGCTGGCGCATGCGTGTCTCCCTGGCCCGCGCCCTCTATCTCGAGCCCACGCTGCTCATGCTCGACGAGCCGACCAATCATCTGGATTTGAACGCAGTCATCTGGCTGGACAACTATCTGCAGGGCTGGAAGAAGACCCTGCTGATCGTGTCCCACGACCAGAGTTTCCTTGACAACGTGTGCAACGAGATAATACATTTAGATCAAAAGAAACTGCAGTACTACAAGGGCAACTACTCGATGTTCAAGAAGATGTACGTGCAGAAGCGTCGCGAGATGATCAAGGAGTACGAGAAGCAGGAGAAGCGGCTGCGCGAGCTGAAGGCCCACGGCCAGTCGAAGAAGGCGGCCGAGAAGAAGCAGAAGGAGTCGCTGACGCGCAAGCAGGAGAAGAACAAGTCCAAGCAGCAGAAGCAGGACGAGGACGAGGGTCCGCAGGAGCTGTTGGCGCGGCCCAAGGAGTATATCGTCAAGTTCCGCTTCCCGGAGCCCTCGCAACTCCAGCCGCCCATTCTGGGTGTGCACAATGTGACCTTTGCCTTTGCCGGTCAGAAGCCCCTCTTCATCAAGGCCGATTTCGGCATCGATCTAACCAGTCGCGTGGCAATTGTGGGGCCCAATGGCGTGGGCAAGTCCACGTTCCTCAAGCTGCTACTGGGCGAACTGGAGCCGCAGGAGGGGGAGCAGCGCAAGAACCATCGCCTGCATGTCGGTCGCTTCGATCAGCACTCCGGCGAGCATCTGACGGCCGAGGAATCGGCTGCCGAGTATCTGCAGCGTCTGTTCAACTTGCCGCACGAAAAGGCGCGCAAGGCGCTGGGCTCCTTTGGGCTGGTCAGCCATGCGCACACCATCAAGATGAAGGATCTGTCCGGCGGCCAGAAGGCTCGCGTCGCCCTCGCCGAGCTCTGCCTGAGTGCACCCGATGTTTTGATCCTGGACGAGCCCACTAATAATCTGGACATTGAGAGCATCGACGCCCTGGCGGAGGCCATTAACGAGTACGAGGGCGGCGTGATCATCGTCTCCCACGACGAGCGGCTCATTCGGGAGACAGGATGCACTTTGTACGTGATTGAGGATCAGTCGATCAACGAGATCGACGGCGAGTTCGACGACTACAGGAAGGAGGTGCTCGACTCGCTGGGCGAGGTGGTCAACAATCCCAGCGTGGTGGCCAATGCGGCGGTGCTGCAATAACAATGGAATTGGAATTGGAGTTCCGAGTCCACGCTACTGCTCATCATCTCGTCAGCCGGCCGGCGACATGTTAATTGTTCAACTGTTGAATGGTTTAGCCGCTAGTTAGCCTTTTTATACCAACATATATACAATAACAAATTGTGAAAGTAAACGTTGTTACACAGGAAGGGTGTAAATGGCTTTTGAAGTTGTGGGATTTTGAGGAACTAAGGGGTCATATTTCAGATGATAATATGCTTGATTGTGAAAATATTGAATACTTTGGTTATAAATACTTGGATTTTATTCAGTTTTCCAATTATAATATTATATTCTTGGGGAAGTAATAATAATATAAATAATCACCTCAAAAATCATTAATCGATCTAACTACTTGGATATTATTTAGTTTTCCAATTTTAATATTATATTTTTGGAAAGATACTTTTATAAAGTGGAAAGTTAAACTTTGGAAGTAATAATAATATAAATAATCATCTCAAAAATGATTAATCGAAATAAATACAAGGATATTACTTAGTTTTTCAATTATAATATTATATTTTGAAAAGGTACTTCATAAAGGTGAAAGATTAATTTGGGAAGTAATAATAATCAACTCAAAAATCATTAATCGAAATAAATACAAGGATATTATTTAGTTTTCCAATTATAATATATTATTTTTTAAAAGATATTTTTATAAAATGGAAAGTTGAACTTGCGAAGTAATAGTCACCTCAAAAATCATAAATAAACCCCCTTATAAATATAAAATACAATCTTAATGTAATACATTCTAAAAAACCCAATTATAAGTAGTAATTCAAAGTATTTTACCGAATATTTCAAGTTTATTTCAGCCCGCAGATGGGTTTTTCAAGTGCACTCCGCAAAAAAATGGATAAACTTAGATTAAGGTACAAATAATTCTTATTTCTAAATATAGGAATTAGGGGATGATGCACCCCTAGCCGCTGCGATAGAAGGCCTTCACATTGTTGATCAGGTGGCTCAAGCCATTGTAGCCATCCTTATCGAAATCGATGTTCTCGCCGCCGAATTCGATGACCTGGAAGAGTGGAGAACGGGGGATTAGGAATCAACCAGGTAGCTTCTTCTCAGAGCAAGTGCACCCACCTCCTTGGCCCTGATGGTGTCCGCGCCATGGGGCACTCCAATGACCTCCACCCAGGCTCCATCGGCGGCGCCCAGTTCGCCCGGCAGATTGATCTTCAGCTTATGGTTGTCCGTCGAGTTGGCCAGCAAAGTGGATCCCGCCACGCTCTCCACGCGAACCATGATGCTCACGGTCTGTCCGGAGAACTGCTTCAGCATTCCCCCGTTGATAATCGAGCGAGGATCAAAGGCGTCCATGATTTTCCAGTAGTTTTATCAGAAAAGTTTCGAGTTTCAGCAGAAAATGAAATGCCGTAAACAAGAAAGAGCGCCAATCAAGACAGCGATGACAGAATCGATATATCCTTAGCTTCTATCGATAGTATCGGAGAATATGATCAAACGTTTTTCAAAATGTATTTTTTTCACCGCAGTATTAATAGTTTAACTCTCATTAATTCAATATAATGTTGTAGCTGTTTGTTAATTAATTCTTGTTTAGCGTTATTTAAAAATGGTTATCTATCTATGGATTCTTTTAAATATGTTCTCAAATAATGCCCATCTAATTATATAGAATGATTTCATTTAATATATTTTTATTTATTTGCCCCAAATAGATCATAATATCGCCAAGGCATACACCAAAATCATCGATAACACGGAAGATGCGCCCCAGTGAGAACGTGCCCATTTGAGCACGACGGGCCGTTACATCGATGTATCGATAGTTTTTAGCCTGGCCAACCGAGCCAATGTTTATTGTTATAAAATAAATGTTAAAAATAAACAATTAATCACTTAATATAAACAAAAACCAGTGCAGGCATTGTAAAAACGCCCCCCGCCCCCGAAACTGACCTCATCGCAGGCAAACAACAAATAAATAGAGCAACAACAACGCCAACGGCAGCAGCAGCAGCAACAACAACAAGCAGGAGATTCAGATTCGCAACGCAATCAAAAAAGAAAAAACGGAAAAAAAGCTACAAGGCGAAACGCATAAATAAATAGGGAAACAAATAATAGTAATAATAATAATAAGACTAAAGCCAAGTGGAAAAGTACGAAAGCGAAAAGAGAAAACATATGTACGTTGCGTGAGAGTGACGTGTGAGTGTGTGTGTGCGGGCGAGCGAGAGAGAACGACCAAGGAGAGGGGCGAGAGGAGAGGCGAGCAAAAACAAAAACAACAGCACAGCATAAGCGAGACCTTGAAAACTTTAAAAGCAGCAGCAAAAACAACAAAATAAAATAAAGTAAAACCCAAAAAAAAAGCTGAAAAATATAATCGAACTAAATATTTTTATATAAAATTTAGAGAGGAGAGTAGCGGACACGGATACCCTGTTATGGAGAGTGACGATTTTCATTTACCGCAAGGCGCCAATTAAAGGGGAAAATCCATAGAGAAAAACCGAGAAACGAGCGAGGAAAATCGGAAAATGGCAGCAGCCGAAACGGGCAACACAAGCTCCACGGGATCGGGATCTGGTTCCGGATCTGGATCTGGATCCGGATCCTCTACAGATCCCGCCAACGGCAGGGAGGCCCGCAATCTTGCCGAGAAACAGCGGCGGGATAAGCTGAATGCCAGCATCCAGGAGCTGGCCACCATGGTGCCGCATGCGGCGGAGTCATCGCGCCGCCTGGACAAGACCGCCGTCCTCCGGTTCGCCACTCATGGCCTGCGACTCCAGTATGTCTTTGGCAAGTCGGCCTCCCGACGCCGCCGGAGACCCAGCTGCCTCAAGGGTGCCAGTTCCGGTCTCTCCTCCGCCGCCGCCGCCGCCGGAGATCTGGCCAATCCCAGCCTGCACCTCACGGACACCCTGATGCAGCTGCTGGACAGCTGCTTCCTCACCCTCACCTGCAGCGGCCAAATCGTCTTGGTCTCCTCCAGCGTGGAGCAGCTGCTGGGCCACTGCCAGTCCGATTTGTATGGCCAGAATCTGCTGCAGATCACCCATCCCGAGGATCAGGCCCTGCTGCGCCAGCAGCTGATACCCAGGGACATCGAGACGCTCTTCTACCAGCAGCAGCACCAGCAGCAGCAGCAGCAGCACTCCACCTCCACTTCGGCCTCCGCCTCGGGAAGTGACCTGGATGAGGAGGAAATGGAGACGGAGGAGCAGCATCTGGAGGAGCAGGAGCAGGACGACAACCCGTATGATAGACGCCCGCCCAGTCCGCGCAGCATTGCCCACTTGGCGGCCATCGACGAGCGGCTGCGCGCCGATCGCCGTTGCTTCACCGTCCGCCTGGCCAGGGCATCCACGCGGGCGGAGGCCACGCGCCACTACGAGCGCGTGAAGATCGATGGCTGCTTCCGGCGCAGCGACTCCTCGCTCACCGGCGGAGCGGCGGCCAACTATCCCATTGTCTCGCAGCTGATACGCCGCTCGAGAAACAACAATATGCTGGCCGCGGCGGCGGCGGTGGCAGCGGAGGCGGCGACAACGTCGGTGCCGCCCCAGCACGATGCCATCGCCCAGGCGGCGCTGCACGGGATCAGTGGCAATGACATTGTCCTGGTGGCCATGGCCCGCGTGCTGCGAGAGGAGCGGCCGCCCGAGGAGGCGGAGGGAGCGCTGGGGGGCCTAACCATCTACAGGCAGCCGGAGCCCTATCAGCTGGAGTATCACACGCGGCACCTAATCGACGGCAGCATCATCGACTGTGATCAGAGAATCGGTCTGGTGGCGGGCTACATGAAGGATGAGGTGGGTATATTGCATGAGAGAGATCTCGGAAACTACAAAAGCTAGAAGGTTGAGATTTTCCACACATATTCTTGGGCCTCCTACGCAGCGCAAGTTTATTTCAGCCGAGCGCCACGCCCCCTCTAACGCCCACAATCGCCCACTAACGATTTTTTAAAGATTTCCGAGAAGTATAAATGCAGTTTTGTTGTGTATATATATACCTTTCAAAATGTAGACGACATTTTTCAAATCGGACCATTCATTTAAAAGTTATACGCAATTAAAATCCATTTAGCTGAGTTACGATTATTAGTTTAGTTTAGTTTCACCTTCGCTCTTACCCTTATTAATCCTTTAAATTCCCTTTTAGGTGCGCAACCTCAGCCCCTTCTGCTTCATGCACCTGGACGACGTGCGCTGGGTTATCGTGGCCCTGCGGCAGATGTACGACTGCAACAGCGACTACGGCGAGAGCTGCTACCGCCTGCTGTCGCGGAACGGGCGCTTCATCTACCTGCACACCAAGGGCTTTCTGGAAATCGATCGCGGCAGCAACAAGGTGCACTCCTTTCTGTGCGTCAACACGCTGCTCGACGAGCAGGCCGGGCGGCAGAAGGTGCAGGAGATGAAGGAGAAGTTCTCGACCATCATCAAGGCCGAGATGCCCGCGCAGAGCAGCAGTCCCGATTTGCCCGCCTCCCAGGCGCCGCAGCAGCTGGAGAGGATTGTCCTCTATCTAATTGAGAACCTGCAGAAGAGCGTGGACTCGGGGGAGTCGGCGGTTGGCGGGCAGCCGATGGAAAGCCTAATGGACGATGGCTACAGCTCGCCGGCGAATACGTTGACCCTCGAGGAGCTGGCCCCGTCGCCCACGCCCACCTTGGCTTTGGTGCCGCCGGCTCCGTCGTCGGTGAAGAGCTCCATCTCCAAGTCGGTGAGTGTGGTGAATGTGACGGCGGCCAGGAAGTTTCAGCAGGATCGGGAGCAGGCGAAGGAGCGGCAGCACAGCTCCTCGCAGGGAGTGATCCGCCAGCTGAGCAGCTGCCTCAGCGAGATGGAGACCGCATCCTGCACTCTGTCGCCGGCCAGCAGCCTGAGTGCCGGCGAGGCGCCCGATACGCCCGATCCGCACAGCAATACGCCGCCTCCGCCGCCACAGCAGCCACAGCCGCTCCATGCGCGTCCCAGTGTCCTGCATCGTACCCTCACCAGCACGCTGCGATGACGGGCCGATGGCTCCTGGTTTGCCTTCTAATTGGGTGTGGAAATGGACGCCACTAGTAGCGCACATCAAGTCCAAGCCAAGTGAAAGCCCAAAATGTATCAGATACTTTCAAGGATTAGCAAAGAAAACCAGTGGTTTTTAAAGACTCCTTTTAGAAGAGGAACATGTTTTTAACAATTGGAAATTTTATTTCATTTCAAAACATTTATAAAAACAGAATTTTGTAATTTTCAAGGGACTTTCCATTAATTCAGGTTTCTTTTAAACGTGATCTAAATGCCTTCTTTATCATAACCAAGCAAAACTATTAGGTTTCCCAAATATTTATCTTTTTAGTGACTCCTTTTAGAAGAAGAACAATTGAAAATTTTATTTCATTTCAAAACACTTATGAAAACAGAATTTTGTAATTTTCAAGGGACTCTCCATTAATTCTGGTTTCAACTAAATTCTTTCCTTGTCATAACCAATCAAAACTATTAGGTTTCCCATATATATTAACATATCCCAACATGGTTTCATTATAGTTTTAAAAACACCCATGCTTATGTGAACAAAAAGCGAACTGAGGGCGCATTTATTTTGAGATTATGGCAGTTATAATAATCCGATCACGATAATCGTTACAGAAAAGAAAGGGAAAGATACATTTTGGGTGTAGTGGCTGAATTTACAAGTGATGTCGATCCGAAGTATAGGCTATATATATTGAACGCCGATCGGTGTGCGCTGCTAAATGCGTTCCATAATCAATAATCTTCGTTATGTAATTACGTTTAATTTGTAAATATTTCGTATGTGTGTGTGTGTTTGAGCACGAGTGCGTCTGTGTGCATGGGTGTGTATGAGAAATAGATCCGTGCTCTCAGCTTTGGTTTTAGTTGAAATTTAGGCCCCATTTCCCGATTTCCCAGTGGTCCGATCTCCGCCCAGCCCCCCGCACACCAGTGTAAAAAGAGTACAAAAAAAAAAACAAAAACAAAAAACAAACAATTATATATTTATTTTGCCCTAAGTCTAGAACACGCTAAAAACGACTCATTAATAGTTAAACGGATTTTGCAATCGATGGAAATTAAACGCTCGATTTTTGTTTTGCCATCTCACTCACCACAAACAGTCAAACTTCTCTAAATCGAACTTTAAATCTACAACTTCTTAATATTTTTTTTTAGTTAATCAAACTATAGTGAAAAAATTACTAATATTTTAGGCGTATTTTTAGGAAAACCATTTTTAACAAACTTAAAAACGTATCCACTATAAATTCCAAAAATTCCAACACCAATTATAAAAGCTATAATACAGAATCCTTTGGTAATTTAAAAGCTAGGGATGCCAAATCTCGAAAAAAAACTTATTTTAAAAGTATTTAGCCAATTATATACCCAATAATTTCGAAATTTAGTTAACATTTTCAAAGAATTCACTGTAAACGAATAATAACCAATTGTGTTCAGAAAACGATTATAAAATAATTTTTTAGATTTAACAAAATAACTTTAGAAAAATTTTTTATAATCGAGACGGCACTTATACAATTTTAAATGATTTAAGCACATTATTTCGAAACAAGTGGAGTAAAATATTTCCCGACATTAAATATTCAAATGATATTCGTTTTTCTAAGAAAAAAAATTTTTTTTTTATTAGAGAAGAGGCGATCCAGTTCGTCCTAGCGAAGTTTGACTGTACTTAGTTCAATACTCACAGTTGTTATCAAAGCCTTTGCCATCGTCCTTGGCGTTGCGGTCTTATCACCGGCGTATCGGAGGGAATATATGATTTTTTTTCGGGGAAGTGGTTCGTTCTAGTGGTAATTATGGGGCGGTGGGTGGTTTAGGGGACGAGTGGAGGGGCGGGGCGGGGCGGACGTTGGTGGGCGAAAGGAGGGGGGCTAACGTTTCGTTATTTTTTGTTTCATAGCGAAATTCTGCTAGCTATAATCTTATGCATATATATTATTAACTTTTCGTTTAGCTCAATTTTTTGTTTGTATTTTTAATTATTACTCGGTTTGTCTAGTGTGTAATTTAATTAAAAGTCTAATGCTAATTTCCCAGCGAATCGTTCAGTGTTTGTTCAAACGAGTTGTGCTCTTTAAACACTTTTGGTTTATCCCTTCATTTAATTTTTGTTTGTCTACCTTGCGTTGTTATTTGCCCAAAAAAAAAACAAAACAAATTAATGTTTTTTTTTAGTAATTTAGCTTTAAGTGTAATGTCAAATGTCAAGCGGTATAATCTACGTAAGAATAATAATGTGTAATGTCTTTTTTAGAACTTGCTAAACTCTAGCAATTAAAAAATAGCACGTAATTAACAATAATTAATTATAATAATCAGTGACAGTTCATGCAGATGAAACGTTAATAAATAATAAATTATAAAAATGTTTGTTTTTATTGCGGGTTTAAAAAATAAATGTGATTTACATTTGTTTTGGGTGAATCACATACAACAGCTTTGGCGCGCTTTCCCTCAATAAACAAATAAATGTAAGTTTAAAAAATAAAGTTCTGCCTTATAAATCATGTCGATTTGAAAGTTTCTCTATTATAAGAACATATTACAATATGGTGAAAGGGGCCTTTCCACAGAAAAATAATTAGTTTATTGACCGTAACAATGGCAATATTGATCCAAATATGGAATGTCATACCTTTCTGAACTCGTTATTTAATTTCCAATCGATTGGCATTTAAACCTGAACATTTTATTTTTTGGCCATTTTTCTTAAAAAATCATGATGTACCCCCTTACAAAAAAAATGAAAATTGGCGAAAATTTAATTTTTTCTAGATCACCCGGAAAGTAACATGGATTTATTTATTGTTTTGTTATCTGTTCAAAACAGTATGTGTTTTTGGTGTAGGACCATTTTTGAACAAATTATAGCAAAAAAACTGAAAGAAAAAATGCATATTTTTGTCAAAAACCGAATTCCCGATTTTCCAAAAAAAAAACAAAACAGTTTTTTCGATAAAACGATGTATTGATTTAAAAACGGATATTAGGAGGGTGTCCTCGCTAAGTTAGCCGATACACCCTCCTAACATATCAAAAATACAGATGTATCGATATTTCGATATCTTTGTCACGAACGGTCTATTTGCAAAGGTAAAAATGGTATTAAAAAGTGCATTTCTGGCCGACGGGTTTGTTGCTGGGTTTGGGGGTTCCAATTCGAATTCGGAACGGGCGAAGACGAGACAAAACGGTGCGCCCGCAAACGCTCGAAAACGCAAAATTTTGTCGGTGTCCGTTCCGCTTTTTCTGCGTCTGTGTCTCCGTCGCGTGTGCGTGCGCGCGTGTCTGTGTTCGTTTTTTGTTATTTTTTTTAAACCAACGACAACACATAATATTATTAAAATACACAAAAATTTCGGTGATTATATTTAAATGATTTTGTTTTGGTGGCGTTTTGAATGAGAAAAGCTGAGAGGCGCAGTGGAAAACGTAAGAAATGCTGAAATAAAGCTTAAAGTAAAAGCAGAAATTGAGAGTTTTTGTTTGTGTGTGCGTGCGTGTGTGCAACAATAACAAAAAGAGAGGTGGCCCGAAAGTTGAGGAGGGGAGGGGAGGGGTGATGGGGGCAGACAGGGAGCAACACCTACGCAACTTTTGTTGTTGTTGTTGTTATTCCTTTTTTGGCATGCCGTTGCTTTCTCTCTTCCACTCACAGCCTCATTTGAATTTTTGTTGTTGTGCGGCAAATTTCTCCACTTCCTGTTCTCTTTCGACTCCTTTTTTTGGGGGCTTTTGTTATTTGTTTCCAAAACAACCTCTTAAATAATCAATATAAATTGCGAAAAAATTTCCAGCCGCATTAAAGAAACTTGCCCTACATTCAACAATAAATAAGAAGTGAAGAAATACGTTAATAAAAACTTGTTTTGTTTTGTTTTTGTGTTTTATGTGCCGAGATCATAAAGCTCTCTCTCTCCCTCTCTCCCGCTCTCTTTCTCTCGCGCAGAAGATAAAAAAGATCAATCAATTCAAATCACTCTCTTCTCCTCTCTTTGCAACAAAGTTGAAGGTCTTTTTTGCATGGCAATGTTGCCAAGCGCCAGAAACAACAACAAATAGCAACAATAACAAGACATACACAGAACGAAATTAGGATAAATGTGAATAATAATAAAGCAATTAATAAAAAGAACAATTGGATATTCAAAAGAAAGGTTAAGAATCATTTAAAAAAAAGATACCATAACTTAGGATAAAAAGTATCCTTAAACATTTTAAATAAACCAGCCAAATAGCCCCTATTTTGCTCCGTGTATCGTTTCGATTTCGCAGAACTGGTTTTCAGGCGTTTAGTTTTATTTATTTTTCATATTTATTTGTTTCTTTTTGCTGGCTGCGATGTTTTAAATACTTTAATGACGTCAGCGGAGGCTAAATTGTTGATCAGCATTTTTTTTGCAACTGCACAGGACTGTGCAATTAATTAGCACTTATCTGCGATTCAAATAATATTTATGCATTGAATAATCAGACAGTAGAGCTTTTATAACATGAAAAGAACGGCTATTTTAATATAATTTATTCAAGGAATTTGTGTCTCACAAAAAAGGAAAATGAAAATTTGAATTTAAACCATTTATATGATAACTTTTGACCTAATTGATTAAAATTAGTAAAAAGTCTTGAATATAGGCAAGCTCCACTGTATGGAGATATAGAAACAAGTCGCAGAAAAACATACAAAATCTAAAAGAGCTTTTGGCGCAAACGCAAAGTGGTGGAGAAGAAGAAGAGTGAGAAGAGCAGGTAGAGAGCGGGAAAGCAACAATGTCTATCTGTCTCCCTCTCGTGATCGCTCCTCTATATATATTTATAATTTATACTCTCTTGCAGATCACAAATAAAATGTTTTAATCAATTAAACAAAAAAAAAAAAAACACAACAACAAAATTTCAACTAATTGGATCCAGAAGAAAATACAAAATTCAATCGCGCTGACGACAAATAATTGTGAAAACAATGCATTTAATTAAAGTAAAGACTAAACTCGCGCTGAAAATGCCCGAAATCAAAAGAAACTAGCGAGAAACACAATCAAAAAATCGCACAACAAATCGCAAAAGTTAACAAAAAATCCAAATAAATTAAGCCAGACAACAAAAGAGAGCCAGGAGCAGAGAACGACAGCGAAAACAGCAAAACGACGGCCCCAAAATGTTGTACCAGCTAAGTAAAGCCACTACTAGAATCCGACTCAAAAGGCAAAAAGCCGTTCCACAACATTGCTGGCTCTGGAGTTTAGCATTTCTGGCAGCATTTACTCTAAAGGTAAGCGAAAGAGCCACGGAACTTGGTCAAAACACAATAGCGGGTGGGTTTCTAGATACCCAGATACCATTAACAAGTAATATCCACCATACCAACCAATATTTTTATAAGTAATGCTGGGTTCTATATAATATCTTTATTTAAATAGAATTTCTAGATTTTCCAAAATATGGGATCTGTGGGAAAAAAAGGTTATAAGTCTAAAAAAAGATCTCAGGACTAACCTTTTCTTTCTTTAATTAATTTTATTTATTTATATTTTATTATAATATTACACATACAAACTTTAAAAACTTACCATATTCTATCATCGATCTCAGAAGATATCAGGAGACAACGTTTTCAAAAATCTGACGGATACACAAAGATATACTTAATTAACTCTCAACTTTTAAGGGCTATCAATGCGGCAAGATTCTGCAAACATTGTCCAGAGTTATTTATTTATTTATTTGTGACCCAACCAACCCCACATTTTCTCACCCACATGAAAATCTTCTTCACTTTTGTCTTTGGTCTTTTCCCATGTTAATTAAATTCAATTATTTGGCATCATGTTTGCTTTTCGTTATTGTCCATGCGGATGTATTTGTCTCACTGTATGGGACTACTCAAAACAAACAAAGACCTTGAGGAAACAACAATCAATAATTAAACAAGATTTAGCATTTTGCATCTCAAGTCGTGCTTGAGGGAAATATAAAGTAAAATGCATTCGACTGCCAGTTAAAAATCTATAATATAACGAGAAAACGAAATTGTATTCTCAAGGGTTTGTCTAGATATTACTTATCTTTACTAGCACGCATGCTTAAAACCTTTAATTGATATTTCGTGTTGTATCGGTTACGGTTTCTGTTTTGCATAACAATTTCATAACCGATTCCCCCCGATTTGTGCATCCAAGTTTGTGATGTAAGCTCTGAGACTTGCAATTTTCCCAATTACTTTTCGACTTTTGCAGTTTTGCACGAATTCCATTTTCATTAAGTATTTTTCATTACAATATCTATTCTTAAAGAAATAGAAAATGGGAAATACTCCATCTATCTAGTCTTAACTCGATCTATATGCTACTTACTGGATACTACTGGTAAATATTTATCACAGATGTGGGCACGACTTGGATTGAATTTAAAACCCACCGTTAACCGGTTCGCATTCGACTTTGGTTTCATTTTACATTGACAAATTTTCATTCGTTTGTTTTTAGTTTTATTTGTTTAACGAAATTGTTGGCGCGTAACGACTACTGCTCCCCCATAAAAATACATACATACATGCATATCTATACAGTGTTCTACTATTTCTAATACAACCCACCAATTGTTTCCCGGGAGATCCATTTCAATTGCTTTTTTAGTTGTTCAAGTTGTTTCACCGGTCGCTGTTTTTTTTTCATTGCACCGATAAATGGCCAGAAATATTTGCCATTCGGGCACATACAATCTTAACTTATTTCGTTTCGACGCTGGTGGCCCATAAGTCACGTCTCTCGGTCAAATAATAGACACGAATAAACACAGGCATTCATTAATGCAAGAACACATTCATGTGGTATTTATAGAGTATATGCTTAACCGTTTAAACTGATAAAGTATCAGACGATAAATGATAGTGATTGCTTTTCGATTGATTTTCATTTATAGATCGATAAATACTAAGTAAATATGATGTTATGATATGATTTGATTTTTAAACTCCAAGAAAAGTCAATATTTATGGGTATTAAGAAAGCATACCATGGATTAAAGTAAAAAGACCAGTTTAAATGAGGCGAAAAATAAGGTTTACAGAAGGAATTAAAAACAATTATCCCCGTAAGATGCTGGCGACACTGGTTGAATAATAAGGAAGTGCTGGGTAATTAAATGCCGGGCGGAATCCACAGATGCACAATGCAGATAGGAACCAATTTTCTCGAGAACCACGCCCATTTCATGTCCTGGGACACGTGTCAACCGTAACGGAAACAAAAACACGAAACTTTGGAGATATTCGCCAGAAAGAAATGTTTTCTCAAGGAGGGACCAAAAAGGTGGGGAGAAGTCAGTGCAGGATGGCAATTAAATGCAACCCTGCACTGTTATGCAATTGACACCAAAACATTTGGGTTCCCAACCCCCTTCTCAGCATTAAGAAACCCTCTTTGTTTTTCCACCCAAAGCAAGAAACAAATTCTACTCGAAAATGTGCATAAATTAAGTAACAATTAAACCAAGTTGAGCTTGAGCTTATTAACCCCCTGATGGCATGACTAATTGATCTTATTCGAGATTAACAATACGCGTTTAAAAGCAACCTGAATGAGTCAGTTGAGAATGCAGAAAAAAGAGAAGGTAGTACATTGATTTTATGAACTAGAAACGATTCTGTTTAAATATCCAAGATCTCTACTTTTATAACTCCACTCTTTATAGGCAGATGGTGTCTGATATTTGCCAGATCTTTTTGCTAGACTCTTAAAAATATCTTGCAACAATATTTTTTGATGAGCTACCACCTCCCATCTTCCATCTCGAGACATCAAACACAAACTGAAAATAGAGCCGAATGCCGGAAATGCTACAACAAAATGCGAAATATACAAAAAAGAGGAAAATCGAAAAGGAAAATTCAAAGATATTATGGCTGCAATGAAATTGTGGTTTCCCGCAAAGGGGAAAGTGTTCGTTCGTTCCTCTAACTTGATGATCCATTTTCACTGACTCTCCAACTTTATATCAATGATCGATTAATGCCTGGGGGTTTTCGGGTCGTTTTGCGAAAAACCTTCCCGACTTTAAGTATAGTTTCTGATTGGGAAAACGAGAATTCGGGTTGGAGGAAATGTTTGGCCCATTCCGAATTCTTCATTGTCCTGCAACAAAAGCCAGAAAGGAACCGAAAATGAAATTGCTCTAACGGTGTTTGCTCCCGTGAGGCGTTTTTCGTTTTCGTTTCAGTTCACCCACTATAGTTTAGGGGTGACTTTTCCGCACAACTCTGGCTATATAAAACCTAAAACCCAGACCCAAATTTATATATCGAGCACTGCACAGCTGCGGTGAGGGAAGTAGTAATGAAATGTTATAAGAATTCAAATTGAATACCTACCTTATTATTAAAAAAATTCAAATATTTTATTATCAAGACTTAAAGAATTATAATTTTAAAAAAAGTTCAAAAGAGAGTTATAATCAAAGTTTAAAACTATAAAATGCATTTTTACTTACAGGTTTCCTTAATCATCAAAAACTTTTTGAATAATAAAAATCTACTTACTAATAACTCATTTCTCCCAAAACTAATCGCAAACTTCTATTACTTTAAACGCGTCTGTATGCTCACATGTGTGGGTGTGTTCTATATGAAGTCACTTAATATTTAGTTTACTGTAGGACATGATTCATAACCGGGGAGGTTTCTTCTTCGCAGCCAAATAAGGGGGAGGTATTATACAAGAATGAGCCACCGGAAGGAGACTGCACTAGTTCCTCCTGCCGCCACTTGAACATTATGAAAGTCATAATTTTTGTATGCGAAAACATTCCTACATGAAATGAAATGTCTGCTCACTAATTACTTGTGTATTCTGTAGCGAAAGGTCGATAAAATGACTTGGTGCAAATGGAGAGCTGAGATCTGGTGGCCAAAAGTAGACCAAAATAGAATGAGAACATATGGTGTTTAAAGTTTGATCCATAAAACCCAAACGATTCTTGTTAATTTGTATTATACCTTTAAAATATCTAATACAAAGGATTACAAATGGTTTCTCTCTTTAGATGATATAATAATAATAGCTGACTCCATTCATGATTACCTCAACTTGCATTAATTAAAATCAATACTTTTATATTCTGCCCCGGAATCGCAAATCCCGATCGCCGTTTGTATACAGGAATTTGCAATTGCAAATGAACAAAAGCAACAAGCAGACTGGAAAATAATAAAAAAAAAACTAATGAGAAAATGCAATGGAAAATGGGAAAACGGAGAGGAGAGGGCGTCGTTTTGCAGTTGCTGTTTGCTTAATTGAAATTTATTGACTGCGCGTTTGTAAATTGTTTCATCTGAAGGCGGCGAGGGGAGTGGAGGGCAGGGGTATTTAAAATAGTAGGAGAACACCAGATGCAGAGTTTATTTTCAAAAGGGTGGCCAGGAAATCGCACTCTGAATTTTTCCCCCACACTTTCTCCCGACTTGCGGCTCATTTGCGAGCGCCACACTTTTCCCCATTCCGTTGACGTTTTTATAGGCAGTTGAAAATCTTGCGAAATCATCGAAAATTCCACTCCATATGGACGCGTTTGGAACCATTGGAGTTCTCTTTTCCCGGCTTGTCAATCAGTTTATTGGATAGTTCTTTCGCCCGACGCCTGTCATTTGGCCCAAACTGACAGCTTGTCTGTTTTATTCTATATTTTGACAGGGGAAGTAAGGTGATTTAGCCGCTCGGAGTGGGTCTAAATGGGTATGGGGAATACTAGAGCCAGAACTTTGGGGGAAAAGAAATAACCTTTAAACGTCACTGAAAAAATAACTTAATATCTGTAAAATCTATTAAATATTAAGCTATCCAAAAGTTATACAATACAATACAAAAAACATACAATGAAGCCAACTGGAATCTAACGAATCCACCCAAAAATCGAATCAGAACAGGAAAATTATGTATAGAAAAGACAAATCGGAACCCATCAATGATTTCCTCTAGCAGGAAAGAATGACCGATGTCATTGGCCTTGAAATTTCCGAAAAACTCGACAACCCTCCCGAAAACGCGGGGGAAAAACTGAAAACTCCCTCTAGAAAAACTGTTTGGCCAGCACGTTTGTAATTTAGTTTGAGTTTGAAGGGTGTGAATTCATTTGTCGATTTAATTATTAGTTGCTGCTGCGGCTAATGCACTTAAAAAAAAATCAAGTAAATTTATAGGTTTTGATATTATTTTAGATATTTTATTTTGAATGATTTAACCTTTAAAATAATAACCTAACTTTTCACTTATTATTTTA